TTATTTGGATTTTCTGTGATAGAAAATCTTCACACGGCAGCAGATCTTTGTGGGGTGGAAGTAAAATTATTTATACATTATTTATACATTTATATTTTCAATATAAAAAAAAAACATCTGAAAAGATTGGTGTGCTTTTTAATGCAGCTATTTTTAAATTCCCTTAAATTAAATCTGATGAAAACCAAATGACTTTTTAAATAAACTAACTGTGATTGCTTTAACCTCAGTAATAAACAATCTGTTCTGTGATGGCTTTGAAGATTTGTCAGGAAATATTAATTAAATAACTATGTGATGACGGCCAGGTAACACAGTGACAGCAGACAGCTCAGGAAGAATGACATGACATTTAAATCAGAATTAGTTATAAAACAATATGTCAAGAACATAATAAAAGGACTAATCCTTTTAAGAGGTTATCTTAAATTGTAATGTCTATTTAACTAAACTTTAGCCATCCTTTTATGTTTGACTAAACCATTCAAGAATAAAACAAACGCAACACATAAACACATACTACGCTGAAAAAGATAACACATGTCAATACTTTCTCTGGTTGCAAGGGGCTGTGCCCATCTCAGACCTTTTCAATCCTTCATCTAAAAGTCCAAACTTAAATTTCTCAATCTGAGAAAATCTTTAAACTTTATGCTCACAAACACTCAAAATCAAATCTTGACTGAGGATGAGCTATTGTGAGAAGAAAAATTGCCAACAACGTTATTCTCTAGCATACCCCCAAAGGCTTGCGTCTGTAAACACAATGGATGTAGGTTCTTTCAAAGTATTAATCCCAGAGGGGGGGCTAACTACAAAAAAACTCTCTGCATCTTTTCATTTGTGAACATTTTGAAAATCACTTATTTTGCTTTAACTTTCTGTCGGCCTGCCAAATAAAATCTCAATAAAACCACATTGAGGTTTCTGGTTCAAGTTCATGGGGAATAAATACTTTAAGGCAAAGGAAAATTGTTGCTTTGTTGTTACATACAGACAACACAAAATCATCCCCAGCACTTTTCAGGGCACGTTTTTATGTTGCTTTCTTTTTTTTCTTAGGTGAGTTTTACAGTTTTCAATCAATTATTCTTACTTAAACCCTAAAAACTTGTTAAGATTTCCTGGGGAAATAAGAACCTGGTATCAAGAGTTTCACCTGGGTTTGTCCTCAGGCAGCTCCTCAGTGACAGCAGCGATGAGCTGGCTCCTCAGGGCCTGATCCATGGCACCGGTCTGGAAGCCATCCAGGCAGAATCCCGCTACGGGCCTTTTGGCCGTCTCCCTGGCCGAGCGCAGCCTCTCTTCCAAGATGTCTCCTCCCTCCACTACCCCAAACACACTGACTCCATCCAACTCCTGACAAGAAGAAAGACACACTTGTGATCACACCCTGAGACGAGATTCAGAGAGACAGAGGAAGAGAAAGAAAAAATAAGAGGAAAAACACTAATTGTTTTTTTAACCAATGAGCATGATGCATGAAAAACTTGAAGATAAAATTACTTTTTTCTTCTTAAGGGGGAAAAAATAAAGAGGTTTTTCTCTGCCAGACTCCATTTCGATTTTGATTACTCAACAAGCAGTTGCACATCACGAGGAGGACAGACACACTGGAGGGTTTGGGGAATTTGGCAGCAATCTCACAGCTCACTGGGTATACGCAAGATAAAAAATTACCTGCAGTAACTCAGTTCTCTTTGCTCGACATGATTTCTCACTTTATTGTGTCAAGGAACATTTGCTTGGCAGTCAGGAAAAAAAACAAGATAAAGATGGAAAAACTTGGAAAAATGACATTAAAACAGACAAAAATGGAAAAGCTTTGGTAAACATGGAGATCGGAGAGAATCTCCATTTATTAGGAGGAAAAAGTAGAATCTGATCAGTCGCTCTTAGTGTTGCAGGCTCGCACATCTGCTGACAATGTATTCACCCTAATCTTGCCTGTTTCTCCAGCAGAAGCTCAGCTGCGAGGAAGTGCCAAGCGACAGCCACCGAACAATCAATCCATGTCTGATGTTTTTAACTTCGCGCTTGACTGACTCCAAAAGATAGCGTGCGTCAGTTGAATGTGTTTGTGTACCTGTGATTTCTGATGCACCAGCAGACACTCGTCCAAATGAGCGAGAGATCGGTCCACCGACTTTCGAACCCTTTTCCGCGAGGTGCCGGTCTGCCAGGTCTCCCCGTCTGCCATGGCCTGGTACCAGTCTGGCTGCACCATCCTCTGGAGGGCCATGAACTTAGCCACTGTCAGCTCTATGCGCCCACCGCTGCCCCAAACCGACACCGTCTAATGGTGGATAATTACATTCAAAGCCCGAACGTTTGGCACCTCAGTGAGATACAACCTCTTCCGGGAGCCGCAGCTCACCTTGTTGGTGGTGTGGCCTGTCGGGCGGTGGGCTGCAGAGTCGTGGAGTGAGCAGTACAACACGGTATCATGGAGACCTAAAGAAAAACAGCAGAACCATAGAAGTAACTCAATGAGGACAAACTTCAAATCCCACAGCCTGCGGCGGCTGAGCCCGGAGCAAGCTGGCGAAGGGACGTGCTCCATTAGCGCATGTTAATGTGACGACTTGTACAGCTATCAGCAGAGCCAGCTGCAGCAGAAGATCAGAAGGTGAGAAAACAAAAGGGCTCTAATTATTATTTCTAGTAATTAAATCAGTACTCTTCCTTTCTGCAGCTTTAGAGACAACAACAAAGTAATCCCTGACAGTTTATATTAAACGAAGCAGTGATTACGTTTCTAATTTTAAATGTGGATGTCAGGGTGTGGATTGAGCTCAGCGCCATGGCGACGGAGGAGCCACAACGTCAAATAGGGTCACACTTCTAGCAGATTTAAGGCAAAGTATTAATGAGAAATTAACTACTTTTAGTCAAGCTTAAAAGAGTTAATTAGATTGCAAATGTTCCACTCAGATAATTTGTTAGAGGCATCAGATATGAGGTTTCTATTAATGAGGTTTTGTCATATTTTATATGTACAAATTTAACACTTCTTGGTCTTTTTATAATACAAGGAAGGAAGATGGAAGGAAGAACAGAATGAATTGACGTAGGACACAAGGAAGTAATGAAGGAAGGAACAACAAAATAAAGGAATGAAATAAGGACAAGCAAAGAAAGATGGATGGACAGAAAGAAAGAGACACGGAGAAGGCATGGAAGGTTGGTAGAGAGAACAAACAGAAGGAAAGACACATGCAACATAAATGAGGACATGTGGAAGGAAAGACAGAGGTGAATGAGAGTAAGGATGGAACAGGGGGCACAAGGAGGAATGAAAGGAATGAAAAAGTAAGTAAGTAAGGAAGTAAGGAAGGAAGGGAAGAAGGAAGGAAGAACAAACACTCTAGGAAGGTTTAAGAAAGAGAGACAGGTTAGGCAAATGGACATAATGGGAAAGGGTGCATAAGGACAGAGGAAATTGTTGATTACATTAGGTCTAACAAGGTAGAGAAGGACTTTTGTAGAAGGTTATTTGACAGCCTCAATAAAGTTGAACCATCCTTCCATCCTTCTACATCAGAACAAAGTTGTTTTTCCCACAACAAGACAAATGCAGTAAACAAGAACATATAAATTGAAATGCCTCTGCTTATGCCTTGCAGGGCTGTGAGGGGCTGGTGCCTATCTCAAGCATCAGATGAGGATAATTAATTCACACTACATTTCATATCGCATATTAATCACATGAAGCCAGATGAGGAAAGTGTTCTCCCCAACCACAAGTGTGCTTTGGGTAAAGCATATACCTTCCGACATGTGGGAAAGTCTCCGGGTTATTCCCTGAACACCTACCAAAATGTCCTATTGTTACTGTTTTTTGTCAACATATGTAAAAACTCAAAAGTGGAAAAATATACATGTAAAGCTAAATAAAATCAATTCAGTCTCATAAATTCAGTTTCTTGGCCCTCCTCTCCGTTTTTTTTTTCTTTATAAAACCCAGTTTAATTTCCTGATTACCTCCAATGGTATAACCATTAGTAAAGGCAGTAATGAAAACAAAATTAAATGTGATTTGTACCTGCAAACGTCTTAAATCCGCCTTTAAACTCATCCAGCACTTCTTGGTGCTCTGCACTGGAGAGAGATGATGATCAGCTTTAAGGAAGCAATCGGGATGCGAAATGGAGAGTGTGTGTGGGTTCCAGCTTACATGTTGGACAGAGTGACCTGAGTGACAGTGGGGAGGCTGCTGAGAGTGTGCAGGGTGTCCTGGGTGAGGTGCGGAACGGTGCCAAGGTGCGAGTACAGAAGACATCCTGGAATGTCCAGACTGTGCTGCCCCATCCTTCCTATCTCCTTCAATTGACCCAAACGACATCTTCCCTGAACCACTTTGGACAACTCCAACTTCATCCTGCTGCCAGCCATCACTAGCAGCTCCTGAAAAAAAGCATGTAAAAATATTTCACGGAGCAACACTAGTCAAAGTGGAATCACTTTGGCACCACTGCCAAAGCATGGGGTTTAGCCACGTAGCTAGTTAGCTTTATCACCCAAAAGTTACGACGCGAGAAACTCTTTTACTTACTTAATATGTTTAATTTAGCGGAATAGTGCGTTATAGTAGACAACATGCACACATAATTATGCTCAAAGTATTATTATTTGCTTAATTTATAGACATATTTTCGGCTTACCGCTAAAAACTCGTGGGAACTACAAGTCGGGGAAATATAACGTCAGAAGAAATTATACGGCAGTACTTCCGCCATATTGTGAGTGGCATGTTCTCCTTTTGGTTTTCAATATTTATTTTATTTAATCAAAGTCTATTTGTGGTGATCATTTGTGCTTCCTGCAGAAAGCAAATACTATAGCTTCCATCTTGCGACAGACTGTTGATATGCTCAGAATATACTTGTATGTAAGATAATAAAAACACCTATACAGGTGTATAATTAGTACGAATAAATAGTTAAACCTATTTATTCGTACTAATTAATTCCTCTAGCCACACGTAAAACACAGATTTAAAAATGCTTTATTTTCTTTACGTTTTCATAAGCGAACATCGTTGTCATGGGAACTTGTCAACGCCTCGAAAGCTTACTGGGACACGTAGTTTCGAACGTATTTGTGGTCCCGACATTCAGCAAAAAATGATAAGTAGACGCACTCCATTACCCAGAATCCTTTGCCGTCCAAGTTTGTGTTAGTTATGTTGACACGTTTACGGCGTTCGTGTTTTACTCTGTGGTAACTTTTCTGCTAATTTTTTGGCTTACCCAAATTTGGTATCGTACACGGTGGAAATAATAGACAAGTCAATAGTGGGATTTAGGATTATATCGTAATTTTATGCAGATGCATAAATAGTTGAGATGGCATCATCAGGGTTCAATTATCACCTGTTCAGGTGGAAAACACTCGGGTCTCCCAACAAGGTAAGCTTGACTTACACTTAAAGAGAGAGTACACATCTCCAAGATAAATATAGAAATTATTCTTAACAAAAATAAATCAAAAGTAGTGACTTAATATTTTTTTAATATCAAATGACCAAGTAAAATAAACGTGTGTTCTTAATTTCAGAGCCTTTACATCAGGCATAAAGATACAGTGCAGTGATACGGTTGAATATTCATAGTATGGGGATGCTTTAGTAGAGAGAAAGCTGGTGGGCATTAACTGGAAGATGGATGGAGCAAAATAAGAGGCAATCCCGATTGGATAGATGCTTTTAAAAACTTTAGACTGCGGAAGAGTTTCCATTTCCAGCAGGACAATGACACTAAAAAAACTGCAGAAACTACAATGGAATGGTTTTGTAGTTGTGCTCTGACCAAATATGAAAAAGCTGTAGGGGTAAGAATAGTTAGCAAGCCATTTTATGAAGATAAATGATACAAGAAGGGTACACACATGGAGTATATGCATAGATGTGGCTTCTTCTAAGTGAATGGTAAATATCATCCAGGTCTGTTGTCAGATATTCACTCGCTTGCAGCTGTACACCCTTGCAAGCGGAGACTGAGATAGCTGAATTGCTACTGGTAAACCGCTCACCTTTTGAAGTCTGGGAAATGATTCCCGGGGTAATCTGCGGATTTAAGGCAATAGCTGAGCTTTCCTGTGAAATAATCTGCAGACATCAGGCCCTCGCCTCAGCCCACAATTTGCACACTGCATCACTAGCTCAAGGTCCCTCTGAGGGGATTTTCATAAAGGCAAAAGTGACAATGTGACGTGCATCTTTCTGTTCTGATTTTACCCAAAGGTATATCTTTATGTCCTTTAATAACAGAAACCTGTGAAGAAGGATGACATTAATGAATGGAGAAAGGTGAGACTTTACCATCTCTAGTAATATAAAGCAATTTGCTCTTAATGATATTTTAGACTTTCTTTATTTTTAGCTACATTAATATGTCTTATTGCCCTTGTCTCCGTCCTCAGCGAGTGGAGATGGCCTCTGAGTTAGCCGTGTCTGAAGTCTTCTCCCACAGGAAACCTCAATCAGCAATAAATAGAGTGGCTGTACCTTTGGAAAGCTCTGAACAGTTGAGGGATCATGATGACGCTTACAGTGAAGGTAGGTCACCTCACTGAAAAAGATACCTTCTACTTTTAGGTTACTAACGTAAAATGTTTCTTTGTTTTCAATCAGGTGTAATCATGAAGTAATGTGGATGCTGACAGATGAACTATTTTACTGCACCTTTCTATCTTTTTATGATATTTATTAATAATGTAGAATAAACACAGAAGCTTCACAATTCTTAGATTAATGCCAGACTGTAACTTGAAAGTAATTCTCACAAATTTCACCTTTACTTTTTGTCCATAAAGTTTGGTTACAGTTATGTTTAGGCAAATAGGAATCTTATGGAGAGCAATCTAATTTTTCAACATACATTTCTTACTTGATTTGCATGTTTTCTTGTATTTTCCAAATTCAGATTGACCATTACAAACTAGAGAAAATTGGAGATAATTTCTGCCCACTTAGGAATGTTGTAATAATAAAAAACATCTTATTATCCCAGCTTTTTCATTTTACATTGTGGCAGTTGAATCCTAAAGTAAGTTTCCATTTAGGAAAACCTGGTATAATCTTAGTTACAGCAGTCATGTGATCTGTTCACCAGTACACCAACAACATTACTAATTCCATCAATTTTTAAAAATCCAAGTGTCAAAAAGTTTGTCATTTCACTTGGCTCACACTCTGCTCTTTCTTGCAGCTCAGGCTCTTCTAGATGACTGGCTGAGTGATAAGTTACGGAAAGAGCTGGACATGGAGGATGACGATGAATTGAAGGACCGTGTTGGAAACGCACAACCTCCTGCCGCAGCTAGTGCCCAGCCTACTTACATCGATTACGAAAAGTTTGACGGTATTTTTTTGAAATTCTTATTCAGCAGGTCTAAAGATATAAATGTTACATTGTCGCCATACTGCAGCTATTAACTGGCACCAAGTGGATGGAAATCCTTTTCATTAGCTGAAAAGGGTAAGTTGTGAAAAGGTGAAGCTCATCTCTCAGTCTTATTTCAGATCTTTATGACTGTCTGGTCGAAGAAGAAGAACAATTGGCTGTTGAGAGCTTCCTCCAAGATCTAATGAAGCAAGAGCTGCTGGACGGTGGATTGATGGCGGAGTTGACTTGCGATGATCGAGAAAAGCAGAAGAAGTTTAGAAATCCAGCAATCACCATGGAAGCGCGACATCAACAGGTTTGTGCCTGTGCATACGTTGCTGTGCACAAGTATTACTGATCCAGTGAACAGATTCACATTTTGTCACATCAGCCTATGTATTGCAATGGGATTTTATTTAAAAGGCTGGCACAGGGCGGTGCATAAATACTCCACTTCATAAACAGGAAGTGGAAGGAGAAGAATATTTATGGTAATAGGGAAATGTGTATAGTTTGAAATTGGTATAATTGAAGCTGTTCTATGAGGGCCTTAGTGGTTTGTTAGAGGACATTAGTAGACAAGCAGCATCATGAAGGCGGACAGGTCAGGGGGAAAAAGTGTGGAGAGGTTTAGAGCAGGATTTGGTTATAAAACAATGTAACATCTGAAAACTGAAAAAAAAAATTATCAGAGGGAGCGTTAATCAGAAGTTTTAGTCATGAACTCCACAAATATGGCGATTATGAGAAAGTGACGAGAACAAAGTGTTAAAGGAAAGTAAGCTAAATTACGTTGAGACAAGAACTACAAATTCATGTTCAGAGTTGTTTATCAAATCTGATAGTACTTGAGCTGTTTTGCAAAGAATAATAGGTAAAAAAGACATATTCTGGAGATGCATATTGAAAAAGACATGCAACTTTAACTTTGTGTTAAAGCTGCATCACAGATATACACAGACATGGACTCACGGACATGCACCTCTTTGTGTAAGTACAAATAAATGATTGTTGTTGCAACATAAAGTGTGAAAAGGTTCTAGTACTTTTCCATGGCACTGTAGGTTCAGTTCCTCAGCTTGAATTGCAGATATGCATGCTTTGAGTTGGATTGTGGCCACAAAGCCGCTGCTTGTTTCTGCTCAAGGTGCGAGAGAACAGGGCACGAAGGGAGGCTGAGAAACAGAGGAAGAGGAGAGAGAAGGAAGCTCAGCAGGACGCCTGGCAGGAGGCGAAGAAGAAGGAGCAAGAGGAGGAGAAGAGGAAGAAGCAGCTGAAGCGCAGAGAGGAGGAGATGGTGCAGCAGGAGATGGCGAGACTGAGGCGACTGATGGAGGAAAAGAAGGCCTTGGAACATGCAGCTTGTCAGAAGTAGGTCATTACCTGATTGGATAATCTGTTTTGACTCTAATCCATTCTTATTAGCCATAACATAACATTCATGTATTAAAAATCCTTCCTGATTGATCTGATGTATTATTCAAATATCTCAGAAACTGAATTAAGGGTTTTCATTACCTGTAAGGCTTAATAATTAAACTTAACAGAGATAATTAGAAATAAATATCACTCTGTATGGAATGAATGTGTATGGGTTTTTATATTTTTGAACTGAAATTGGGTCCCCAAATTAAATTCTGCTTACATTTTTTTTACTCTTTCCAATTTGAAAAAAAAAAATCTTTACATGACCTTTTTATTCTGTGTTTTTGTTTTAAAATGTCATAGTGAAAAAAACTGAGCTTAACCTAATCACTTTCCAGAGCTGCTGCCTCTAAAGCTATGTTGTTTTAAAATTGCACAGCTTTGGATATTTCTAAATGAAATAGAATAAAACCTGTAGTAGAAAGTTCCAGATTTTGCTGTAACTGAGAGTGGTGAGTATCTCTGTTTTATTTAATGTTCTAACAAATTCACATTTCTGCAACAAACTCTCGTTAAAAAATGAGTCTTTGGTCTCCATTTGGTTTCTAGAGAGAAAGAGAAACGGGTGCAGAGAGCAGTCAGAAGCCTTGAGCCAACCCCTGCACTTCCCTCAAAGCAGCTGCTGAAGGAGTTTAATCGACTACAACAAGAACAGAAGATTCAGGCAAAGATTAACATGAGCAACCTCCAGGTTGGTGCATGCACTATGCAGTAGATGAGCTCACTGACCAGTCTGGGGTTTCGGATTGTAATTTCACCTGCAGACGTTAATTAGTGCAATTGTTGCAGTGTCTGCACAAGCATCTGTCTGGATGGCACTCAGTGGTGTTAAGGCGAAAGTTGCATATGAGTAAGGCGGTGGCCCTCTGTGATTGGAGGAGGCAGCTGAGAGCGTGGCGAGCGTGGCGAGCCGTGGTGTGGGCGGAGCGCAGTCGGCGAGAGGTGGCGAGAACAGAGGAGCAACTGCGAATAGAAAACAGGCAAGGAATGCTTAATGTCAAGGTTAAAGGATCTGTATTAACTTTTAATGTACAGATAAGTTGCACGATATGCAGCTCTTTGCAAAAGTATTTTGGCCTCTTGAGCTTTTTTGTATTTTTTATTTTTTTTTAGATTCGGTTTTTTCATGCGTTTAAATTGATTTTAAAGTAAAGTGATACAAAGTGCACATGCATTTTTGCTTCCTTTTGCTGTAATATCCACAAAACAAACAGCAACACAGCAGATAACTTCCTAAACTTTTAGATACCTCGATTTAATAGTTTTAAAGATAAAATATGAGCAACTCTTCATGATCCTTCAGGCAATTCCAGCTGGCTGTGGAAAACGACCAGAGACGTTTGCTACGGCGATGTCTGAGTGAGTGGCAGCTCTGGAGCCAGAGGGCGAAGTCACAACGGGACCTTTTGGCCCGGCAGCAGGAAACCAAAGCTAAGATGGCTGCCTTGATCGATGCTGCAGCCACAGGCAAACTCACAGCCATAGAAACTCCTGCCAATTTACCAATATGTTTGGCCCAGGAGCCGCCGAGTAAAGAGGATACAGATGCCGAGGTGAGAGATGCAGCCTCCTTTATGGACTCAAAAACTGCACGTTTAGAATAGAATAGAATAGAATAGAATTCAACTTTATTGTCATTGCACGTCACAAGTACAAAGCAACGAAATGTAGTTTGCATCTATCCAAAAGTGCTATACAGGGTATAAATATGTATTTACAGGTGTACAAAGGTGGTTATAAAAATAATACGTTCAGTATAAATATAATATAAATATAAATATGGGAGCTATATGCACATATACAGATTATGCAGATTATACAGAATATACAGAAATGTTAGGAATGGATTGTATATGTATTAGTAGATTTACAATACAAGTTAGATACTGGCAAATAAGATTTACAGATTATATACAGATTATGTATGAATGTGAGGACAGTCCGTATGTTATTGTTATATGGGGGGATGGGGAAGTACAGTCCTTATAGTTGTTTCAGGAGGCATTCAGGAGCCTAACAACTGTAGGAAAGAAGCTGTTCCGATGCCTGGTGGTTCTGGTCCGTAGGCTTCTATAACGCCTCCCAGAGGGCAGGAGGGAGAAGAGTGTATGTGCGGGGTGAGTGAGGTCCTTGGTGATTTTCCCAGCCCTTTTCAGACACCTCTTCCTGAAGATGTCCTTGATGGCAGGGAGCGGTGCCCCGGCGATGTGCTGGGCAGTTTTCACCACCCTCTGCAGTGCCTTCCGGTCAGAGACAGAGCAGTTCCCATACCAAACTGTAATACAGTTGGTGAGGATGCTCTCGATGGTGCAGCGGTAGACGTTCGTGATAATCTCTGAGGACAGATGGTTCTTCCTCAGGGTCCTCATGAAGAAGAGGCGCTGGTGCGCCTTCTTGATGAGTTTGGAGCAGCTGGTCGTCCAGGTCAGGTCCTCGGAGATGTGGACCCCCAGGAACTTAAAGCTGTCCACACGCTCCACCTCTGTCCCCTTGATGTGGATGGGTGGGTGTAGGTCAGCGTTCCTCCTGAAGTCCACGATGAGCTCCTTGGTCTTCTGTGTGTTCAGCTGCAGGTTGTTTTTGTCGCACCACTCAGCCAGACAGTCCACCTCCTCCCTGTAGGCGGCCTCATCGTTGTCTCTGATGAGGCCGATTACCGTGGTGTCATCTGCAAACTTGATGATGGCGTTTGAGCCATGGACAGGTCTGCAGTCGTAGGTGAGGATGGAGTAGAGGAAGGGACTCATCACACAGCCTTGTGGCACTCCGGTGTTTATGATGATGGTGAATGAGAAGTGATTATCCAGCCGGACATGTTGGGGTCGACTGGTCAGGAAGTCGAGCAGCCAGTTGCGCATGAGTGAACTGATGGCTAGGTCTGTGAGTTTGGTAATGAGTTGTGATGGAATGACAGTGTTAAATGCTGAACTAAAGTCTAAGAACAGCATTCTGGCGTAAGTGTTCTTGCTCTCCAGATGAGAAAGGACAGAGTGCAGCGCTATGGAGACTGCGTCCTCTGTGCTCCTGTTCTGCCTGTATGCAAATTGGTGGTGGGGAGACAAGATCTAAGGAGTGCTAGGACCAGCTGCTCCAAGAACTTGGTGATAATGGGGGTGAGGGCTGCCGGGCGGTAGTCATTGAGTCTGGTTGGGTTGGAATTCTTGGGAATTGGGACGATGGAGGTAGACTTGAAGCAGGTCGGTACCACAGCGTACATCTTTGATGCTTTCCACTAAAAAGTACTCTATGATTTATTGTTGTTAAAAATGACTGTAGGATCACAAACATGACTAAAACATAAGCCGATCCCCAATGAGGCAACGCTGAAAGTCTTAAAAAAAAAACGAGAAAAAAAAGCAGGAAAATGTGTTTGTTTTTAAGACAAACTTCTGGGAAATAAAGTAACAATATTGCTCTGGAATATTTCTCTGCACATTTAGAACATGAAGCTTTCTAGCCACTGAAAAGAAAAATCTCTGTAGCTGAAATATTTACTGCTCTCAATAGAGGATAGAGAATCAAATTAGCAGCAACAGAATAAAGTACAGCATTACTGTCTAATAAATAAAACAATAAGTTCTAATCCACAAAGACCAGAGACTTAACTTAAGATTGTCTTTTGCTCAAAGACGTTTGTTTTATCTGTCTAATAATGTAGATTTGTAATGGCAGTAAACCATCATTGTTGAATTTAACATAAATAAATGTCTCTTTTTCTGTGAAGCAAACCTATATAAGTGCTTTACTTTGAACTGGAACTTAGACCATTTTTAGTCGATGGTTTCTGCATGTCTAACCTTGCCTTCGTTTGTCCATCATATATTCAATAGAAGGGCCGCCATGCAGCAGAGATTGAGGTCCTAGAAGCGTCTACGGGACATCAGAGTAAAAACTCTGTGGGTGACGCGGGCCAACCTCTTCGGCCTTGGCAGGTGACCAGACGCCACACTGCGCCCACTGCAGAAGAGCTACACGACGCACGGCAAAGGGTGGCGGACAACAGGGTTCTCGGTAACAAACGCACGGCATCACCAGCTGGCAGGTTCGAAAACAGACACGCCGTCCAGAAGCAAATCATCACACAGCAGAGGAAACTCCTGAAGGAGCAGCAGGAGCAAATCACCCGGCTGAAGGAAAAGCAGATCTTTGCGGGGTTGGAGTTAGAAATGGAGAAGGCTGCACAGATTACTCAGCTGTCAGCGCTACAGGAAGCGAAGAGATGCAGCTTTGCCCCCAGGGAACACAGGTTGGCTCACTGAACATCATTAAAAATTTAAGCGACCTGAGATCACTTTCAAAGCAACACCAGTAAAGAGATTTCTACTGGCTTATGGTCAGTATAGAAACCCTTTAAAAGTGATTTTTAAACCACTTATACACAACTTTATAAGTTGACGGTTTTCTTAGGCATTGATAAATATCTGTACTTGTATGGTAGTGATTAAATCAACAAGAAGAAATCAAGAAACTCTCAGTGCTCCAGGACTGAGAAGGTGTTGATCAATAAAGAACACATTTTCAAGAAAGACCTAAATTTTGTGGCTCTCTAGATGAGCCAGATGTCCTCTGTAGTAAATGTTTAAGATCAGAGGACACCAAAGTTAAGCAAGCTGACCATAAGGAGAATACAAAATGCAGATGGAATAAAGAATGATGCCAAATTCTTCAACTTCACTTCAACAATTAACAGCTAGATGGTTGAACATATGTGTCAATTTACCAAACATGCAGAAGCAGCATTCAGTTTTTTAATGCTCCACTAATCTGGAACAAACTTTCTATAAATCAGCTGAAATGCTGAGTTCCTGTAAGTCAAGGTTAGTAATCCACCTGTTTGTAATTGTCTTTGATTAATAACATCTGGAACATTTTTAGTTTTAATCAAGATTGCAGCTTTTCATCACTTCTCCATATTTTACCACTGTAATGTTTTTGTTGTTGTTGTTGTTGTTTATTTACTGTGTTATGTTTTTGTCATGTAAAGCACTTTGAATTGCCTCGTTGATGAAATGTGCTAACCAGACACACTTGATGATTAAGATGATGACGAGTTGTATGCGACACAAAATATTGATGTGGATGTTTGCATCTCAGTCATTAAGCACGAGATAAATATTTGGGCTCAAAATGCGTAAATAACTTTGATTTTTAACATAGATACAATGTTTTAAACTTTTACAGATAAATCTGAGTTGGGTTTTGTTTTTTTGTTGTTTTTTTTTTGAGAATTTAATGTGAAAAGAAACAAAGTATATTTTGTGAGATAAAACCTGTCGGTAGTTTCAGATTTATGGGCCAGTCTGGCATTACTTCTCGCCGCTGGAACATTCCTTCCACCGTCTGAAATTTGTCAAGCAACTATCAGAAAGATGTGAGCATGCAAACAAAAGTTGTGACAGGCTTTCTTTCTTCTGGCTGTTATCATCCCAGCTGCAGCGCTTCAAAGGCTACAGGGGAGCGGGATAGTCAGAACGCACCTTGCAGGAAACCTGTCAGGAAGCAGACGTGCCCCCATCCCCTCATCACAGGTCAGCCTGAAAGCTTAACAACAGGGAATGTTCACAGATGCGTTCAGTGTAAGGAGACGCAGGCAGTACAGTATATCTTGATCCAATCATTCTTTTCTCTTTTTCTGAAATTACAGTAATAAAATAATATATTTAGGATTGCAAAATATGTGTTTTTTTTTATTTTGTTTTTTCAGTTTTACTAATTGTGTAAAGCTGCAAAACAAACGGTAACAACAAAGAAAATGTGCATTTTCACTTTGCTACTGGAAACTTAATTTCCACAAAGCTTTTTTGTCCTCTGGTTGCTTATTGTGTGCTTTTTGACTTTGTCGAAAATCTTAAATTACCAGTTAATGACGTAACCTCTAGCTGTACAACAGCACTGTTTGTTACTGTTTGGAATATATAACATTCAAACCTATCCATGGAGCTTCAGTAAGCTGAGAGGATGGGTTTAAAGAGTGGTAGAACAGTTTAACATTAATCCCAGATTGTTTCGTTGAGGCTATCGTTCAAAAGTCTAAAACTTTATTGGCATTTTTAGAAAATTTAAGTCAATGGCTTCACTTGGCTGATTTTTTTTTTTTTAAACACATACTTGAATGTAAAGACGTGCTATGCAACATGAACTACTTCGTCTGCATATTTTTTTTTTTTATATAATAAAAAACACTTAGACCCCACCTACTACAAATCTTCACCCTGAAGGTTCAGGATTTGAGTTTAAAAGTTTTTCCGCCTACCAGTGCCATCTGGGTTAGACTTCTACCCTGATAATCTTTTTTTCTTTTTCCCTGGTTGTTGCGGTTAAATCAAAGGAGACCCAGAAAAAAAAAAATACCCCCGTTCTCTAAAAAGATTCCTGAAATAGAAAAACACCTAAATATACATACAAACTGATATATAGGGAGACTTAATGGTTCAACCTCAATAATGCTAGTTGCACCTTGATCGCGGTGAAAGTCAAAAGGAAAACCCCACAGGATCATTGCACTTTGCCTGTCACTGTTTGCGTTCTGCATACTTAAACCCAGTTTCGCTCTATTAATAGATAACATTCAAAAAGACGCAGATTGATGGAAAAACACCCACTCTCCTTTAATGGCACCATTTTTAATGTTACGCTGTTACTCTGTTGGAATCGTTCTCATCTCTAAATTTAACAGCATATGTTTTTAATTGGAGACAGAGAGGGGGGGTGGGGGGGATTAATCTAAATAACTAAGCACATCAAATGCAGAACCAAAAATGTTTAACGTAATGTTACCGCAAACTCTTCTTCCACCAGCTTCAGCACTTTTGACGCCAAACAAGATGGATCTTGCCTCATTTAAAAGTCCATCTTGTGACCAGATTCAGCAGATTGCTTTTATAGATTATAGATTCGCACCCTGATGGAAAATAAATGACCTTCACTTGAAGCTGCCTTGGTCTTCTCCCACTGCTGTCTGGCATCCGTCCGTGTCCCCTCTTAAGAGGATTAACCTTCCCAGGATGTCTATTGTGCAGTAGCTGACCTCCGAACTGCTCATGTCTTCATGCGTCTCATCCCAAGCACTGCTACTGTCTGCACACACAGTTGAAATGAAACAGAACAAAGAGAGCCTGTTTTAATCACCAGTGCCCTTTTAACACACAGCAGGACAATACTATTTTACTACCAACAGACAGACTTTAAAAATGAAGCAGGGTTTCCTGAAAATTACCTTTTGGGGACCAAAACTATTAACTATTCTCCCCTTCACTAAAAAAAAAAAAAATCTATGTACAAGTTGGTGGATTTACAGAAACATCAGGCTGTGCAACCTTGTCATATTAGGGTAACACTTTATTTGAAGGGGGTTGAATAAGACTGTCATAAATATGACATAACACCTGTCATGAACATGAATAAGCCTTCATGAATATTTATGACTGTTGTCATAAAGCGTCATTCAGTAAATTATGACACTTCTAATACAAAGTTGACATTATTCAAAATGTCTTTGTTATGACAACTTGACATTAACCAAGAAATCATTACTGATATAAATTTGTTATAAAAGTATTACTGATTGCACTTTAAAAATTAGGTAACTTTATGTTATTAAAGGTAAAGTTTAATCAGTAATGATTTCTTGGTTAATGTCAAGTTGTCATAACAAAGACATTTTGAATAATGTCAACTTTATATTAAAAGTGTCATAATTTACCAAATGACGCTTTATGACAACAGTCATAAATATTCATGACACATGTTCATGACATGTGTTATGTCATGTTATGTCATGTTTATGATGGTGTCATGACAGTCTTATTTACCCCCCTTCAAATAAAGTGTTACCCGTATTAGTAATTATTTCTTGTCCAATAATTTCCTTTTAACACACTGTCTATCCTACTGCTTCTGATGTCAGATTACAACACAAAAACTCATAAACTACTCACACCATTTGCTTTCAGAGGTTGGAAAAATAAAGGAGATACCAGTAAATCATTGGATTGAAACAAGTAAACAAAAAAAAAAAATCTTCATTTGGCTCAAAAAGGGTAAAAACAAGAAACTGATGTTTTTCCATGACACCTGCTCTCTCTCTCCCTCTCTATCTTTCTCTCTTTCTCTTCAGTTGGTAGAGTCGCTTTCTCTTTCATTATTCCACATCTTTACTCAACTGCTGTGACTAAGTTTCAGACACAAACATACAATTATATGCATATTTAATCTTGCCTGATTTTATTACCTTTTTGCAAACCCACACACACACGACTGTTTATCTCCACAATGTGAAATGCCCTTGATACAATTTTTTCTTTTCTTCATTTTCTTGCTTAAAGTGATGCCATGCCTTCCTAAGAACCTCTATTGCTTTCAAGGTCTTTGCTGACCTACAGAATTCAGATTTTTCTTTTTACAAAAAAAAAAAAAAAAAAAAGGTTTTCTTGGCCTTAAAAAACTGGAAACTCTCTTTTCCCTCTCCCGAGCCATGGAAGCCCGAGCTCGACACCGTGCCGAACGAAGGCAGGAGGTCGAGGAAATCAAGAGAAGGAAAGAAGAGGAAAAGTTGGTGAGACTGACAATCCTTCCAGAGTAACCATATTTCCATGCATTAATTGCACATATTTTAATGACTGAACCTTCAGGCTGAGATGAAAGCTGCCGAGGAACAAAGGCAGAGGGAGGAACAGGAGGAGAAACGCAAGGCAGCCGAAAAGAAGAGGGAGGAGAAGAGGCTGGAACGAGAGGTGAGAAGTATTTTTTTTTGTTTTATTCACCTGATGCAAGTTTGTACAAGTTGCACACAAGATGTAAGTATTGCTTCCCTGCGTCCATCCAGAGAGAAGCAGAAAGACAAAGACAATTAAAAAGGCGTCAGGAGCTCATGAGACTGGCCCGTCAACACCATAACAAAACCTTGTTGTCGCATCGAGGCCTGGCGCCATGGAAACGCCTCATGCAGTTAAGACGTGAAAACATGGAGGTAACGTCTTGTGCAGTGCGGTGACGTTCAAAGCCAGCCTGTCTCAAACTCACAAACATATAAACACAGAAAACACTTCATTCTGGCTCAGAGGAAGACTATACTTATCAGGCGGCATTTATGACAGCAGAATGACAACAAACCATAATATTAGCCATTTATTTAAATATTAAAAGGCCCATCTTGCTGTGGACATGTTAAAATACCTAATACTCTTGCATCATCCTGTATGTTCATAACATACAAGTAGAAGCAAAACGAGTGACTTTCAAACCCATCCATACTCTGAGCATCCACATTTTGTCACGTTGCCGTCACAAGTTGCTGTCTAGTGTTTTGGGATTTGATGTAATTAACCATCACTAAGTAGTGCATAATTGCCACACAGAAGTGAAATTACTTTGTTTTATTTTATGCAATATAACAAATGAAAGCACAGAATGGATTTGTATTCATTCTCCTTATAGTTCAATTGTAAGCCGTTTTAGTTATTTTGGACAAAAAAAGAACACATGCAGGGTTTTGTTTGTAGATGTGCAACGACGGTTAGAGGCACACCTTTAAAAGACGTGCAGCAGTAATTGAAGCCAAATGTAATTTCAAAAGGTATTGATTTACAAGGCTTAATACAAAAGCGCAGCCTTCTTTTCAGATCTCTGGTTGCGCAAAAAAAGTATTTAGCAAGAGAAAACACTTCATGATTATGTACTGCTTAGTATTAGTGTATCACATAAAATCCTAATAAAATGCTCTAAGGTTTGCTATAAAGTGACAAAATGTCTGGATTTGAATACTTTTGTAATTCACTGTGGTGATCATACAGTGCTCCAGCATCTTAACCTCTCCTATGTTGCTTAGATAAGCTCAGACGTGTCTGAATACATCAGTCTGTATGAGAAACATAACCACTGCGCGACAGTTTTATTTATTTAAATATTTTTAATGCAATAAACATTAATTGTAAAGGAACAACAATCTGTCCTATATTGCTTTGTTTCGGATATTATAGGGTATCACTAATTTATCTCCGCTGATTTTTTCCCAGCTGGCCGAGAGTCATCACAACCTCTTCCTGCTGAAGCAGTGCACCCTGGGATGGCTACAGTATGCAAGAGACACCCAGCGTGAGAGGGTGGCCTGTGCTGACCAACTGCAGAAGCATTTTTTGCTGCGTTGGAGTTTAAACTGCTGGAAAAGAGTGAGTATACTCCTTTTATGAACGGTATACATTACCTTGCAAAGGTTTCTGTGCATAGCCTATAAACTTGCAACCAAAATGTATTTTATTTAGATCCAACCTGGCAGAGCAGCAGTTTCGAGATAAAAAGAAAGTAAAAATTCAAATGAAAGCATAAGTTCAGCTGTTTTGTGACGCTTTCAGGGGAGAACATCTGTGAACAAACAGCACTAGGAAGGAGCACACCAGACATCAGAAGAAAAGTCATGAGAAATCCAGTTTACATTTTGCCACAATCTGTCTTATATACTCTCAAGCTTACAAAAATCGGTTTGCAAACTCTATTGCTGCATATATGATGGATAGAATAACGGGTAAACGGGATTTACCTGCTTTTTATTACCTTATCAGTCACAACATCCTTATCTTGGTTTCAGCTGGTCGACCTGCGGATGATTCAGGAAGAGCGAGCCGAGCGTTTTTATCGGAGGCGGACTCTGAGAAGGTTCCTGCTTGCGCTGCAGGACTATGTGACCCTGCAGAGGCTGGCGGAGTGGGACCGTCGAAAACTGGCTCAGGAACACCGGGACAGGTCTGCCTCGCCCGACGCTGCGTTTTGTTCTGATGTAGCCTCGATAAAAACGAACTCTTTGCTACGTTTCTTTCGTGGGACAAAATGTATCAGCAATATCTAAAAACTTCTCCTTTAAACTGAAGTATATCCACTATTTTAAGACCTCTCACAATCTAAATGCAGACTTAAAAACATGTTCTATGAAATGTTTGATACTTTAGAGTTTTCTTCCTTTTTGTTTTTTAGTTGTTTTTTTGGTTAGTAGATTATAGATAAAGCAGAGTTTTTAGAACGTGCAGGCTTACAAAACCTTCGAGAACATGAAGACAATGCATTTCTTTGTCCTGGTGTCCCCCAGTGTTTATAGGTAGACTAGTAAATAAGAAAACATAAAATGTGTTTTCATTGAATTTCTTTACACAAAGAAAGCTGCAGACATCTGAAATGAAATGTGGACTTGCCCGACAGAGCATGAAACACAAGAGAGAGGGTGTGATTGTAGAGGAGGCACTTTTCCTGGTAGAAACCAGTGTTTTTCCTCCGCAGCCTGCCAACAGGAGCGGATGAGGCTTCTTCAAGACAGTGTTTTTTTTTTTTTCTCAGCATATGTATTAAAGGTATATACAATGTCACTGAGGAAGACAGGCAAGGTCATATAAAACTGAGTCAAGCTGTAAAGACCTACAGTCACTTCCAGCTCTAAAAGCCTGGATGCATTTTTCTGGTTTCAGGTGAGTTGATGGATTTTTCTGTACTGCACAAACTAAAATCGTTTGATCAGGTGTCTAGAAAAGCTCTTCTCAATCTCAAATATTGTTCCAACTTTCCTGATGACCTTCTCAACTTACAACCATCCAACAACGTTCCGATATCCCTTTCTTACGCAGCTGCTGCTCTCCGAGAGGAGAAAGATGCAGCCCCTTATTTGTACTTTGCAAAAAGTATTCACACTTGAACTTATTATATTTTGTCACAAACATAAGTCCATTTTTCTGAGATATTCTGGCAGACTAAGAATATTGATGGTAATTATTGCATAGTCTACATGAACCAATGGTGTGTTAAAATATTAACTGAAAGCAAAATATGTTTTTGATCCTCGTTTTCACAGATGTAAAAACGGATCTATGTAATATCTTTATTGTCAACCTCAAGGAATATTTTTAAGCGTCAGCTGCCTGGTCTGGGTTCTGCTAAATGACCGCAGGCTACAGGTGAAGCCCCAACAGCTGCCTAGCTGCCAAACACCATGTGAAGACTAATTACATGTTGTCTAGCCAGCGGTCCCTCTGATCCACTTCGTTAATGCTCACTTGCTCCGTGTTCGTCTGTCCTTCCATCTGCTTGTGTTTTAGGCGCGTCCTGCAGAGGTGTTTCCAGGCCTGGAGGCAGCTTCCCACCACGCTGCGGCGGGAAAGGGAGAGAGAGGTGCGGAGGGAGAAGCTGAGCAGGAAAGTGGCAGAGCTTCTGCCAGATTTCTGCTCCCGTCCATTAGGAGCGTCTGAGAGAGAAACCGTCTGAAGGCGACGAGCTGCAAATCCGGACAAAAGCATCAAAGCGTTACTCCAGCAGTGTCGGGTGATAAAGAAAAGGCTCGGTCATTTCTCACTTTCATTTAATCAAATAAATAAAATCCATTCAAAATCCGCAGATGTACAACAGAGAAATTATTTAAATACAAAAGAGTTTATATTTTATTAGAAACTAAAGCGTAGTAAAAGTGGAAAGTTACCAAAAATAAAAATAAAAAATTTCCCCAGACTCAAGCTGACAGTTGTGCATTTGATCGAATACATTATAGTGCTTTCATGTGGAAGTGCGACGACAACGTAATACAAAGCAGCTTAAATTATACAAATGCAATCATCTACCACAGTACCTAAATTAGCCTTGTGCCAAGACATTTCATTTGTCTGATATGAAAACCTAAGATGCAATTTGCAAGGCAAAGTGGAGACGAGTGGCGTCAGTGTTTGAGACAGATAAATGAGGTTTGCAGAGTCTCACGAAGATGATTAAAGGTTTTCAAGTGGTTATGTTAGAAAATTCCCAAACTTCAAAGTATAGGATTAGGATTTTATGTAATAAACAAACACCTGCTATATAATTGTGAAATGGAAGAAAAATGATACATGATCAGTTACACAAACTGAACACAGTTCTGAACTTTGACTGGGCCATTCTGGCTCATGATTATGCTTTGACTGCAACCATTTCACTGTGGTTAAAGCAGCTGTCCTGCTGGAAGATGAACGCTGCCCCCGGCCCCTAACAAACTTTCTTCTAGGATTGCCCTGAGATGCCCCTGCACTGTAACACGAACAGCATTTTGGATGTAGAAAAATAAAAAGATTTAATTATGATCTCATCAGAATTGCCCATTTTTCCACATTTTGAATCTTGATCTATAAAATAAGATCCAGAGGAATCTTTCTGAAAATGTCCTATTTCTTTGTGAGAGTTTAACTTTCTCCCAGTTGTCTGCCAAGGCACTGCAATGTAGCTGAGAGTCCGAGTCCGAAGGAAAACATTCGCAGTGATAGCTGTGTGTGTGACAAAGATGCCGTGGGTGGATTCGGCTGCACAGATGAGGTCCCGGTTGTCGGTCATTGTAATGGTGGTGAATTCACAGCATTGAGATGCGAAGTAGTTATTGCTAAATGTCAAAGAGCAACTCCAGAGCTGCAGAAACACCTTTGAGCAATGCTGACTGCTCGAGACCGAGAGCAAAACTACTGCCAGATGAAGAGGCAATGCTGCCACCCAGTGGTCAGAAGTTGTTTCTACCACCCTTATATTGTGTCTCACACCAGGTCTGTTGGAGACGAAAGCTTCAGTTTGTCTCCCATGGACATGAACTCAGTCCAGTTGCTCCAAAGACCTCGAGAGTGAACGCCGGTGTCCACGACGAGTCCCCAGCAGGCGCTGCGGGCGGTTTTCTCCCTCAGTGCGACACGGGCTTCCCGCTCCGTCACATTGTAGCTGATATTTATAACTTGCACTAGAAGGAGATGCAGGAGACCGCCGGTCACAATGCTGCAGTACCATGCGCAGGTGAAGCAGAGAGCAGAGCTAGAGAAAACAGAAAGGACAAGGCAGATATCTTAAGGTAAACCCAACACAGAAAACAAGACTGAGGGCCATAGAGTATTCTCTGTGCTAATTTTAGTGCACAAGGCATTCCACAGCCAAGTAAAGTGCAAAATATCCAAGATCTAACATTCAGAATAGGTGATTTAGCATTTATGTACCTGGTGATTGAAAGTCCCCCAGAAAACTAAGACTTTATTTTAACCGATAAAAACAGGGATAACTTGATTCTGAGAAATAATAAACAATAATGAGAGAATTTAACAGGCTCATTAGTAGCTATGGAGTTTTACATTTTGGGAACGAAATAGGACAACTTAATATTTGTTCTACAATCTCCAATCATCTACTGCATTAACTGAGAAAGCTGCAGTTTTTTAAATCCATTAGTGTGACTGGAACTCCAGAAGAATGTATTTTTGACCGATATCAAGGTTAACACAGAACTGTTGCAATCTGTTGTTAACATTAAGAATCCTACACATTGGTTGGCTGTAATACAAGTGAAATTTTGGTGTACTGTTGTATATCACGTAAAATCCAGATACAATACACAAAGGTTTCTGATTGTAAAGTGACACTATGTTCAAAAGCTCAAAAGGTATGAATATTTTTGCCTGCTATTATATATAAGTTCTGGCAAAACCTGTAACTCAAAATGGCAGTATATCACATAGATGAGATTTTTATTTTTTTTTTTTTAAATAATAAAATAGGGCCAAGTGTAACCTGTACTGGGTGTAAACTCCAGGGCAGTAGAGTAAGGCAGTGAGGACGTTCTGCTGGGGACACACACTCCGCAGCACCAGGCCGATGCCGTACAGGGACGTCAGCAGGAAGAAGACGAGAGTGAGCAGGAAGCTTACGTGATTGGCCTGGCCCACACAGTTGTTTATCCTGCCCCCCCCCCCGGGACAAACACAAGTACAGTAAAGACACACAGACAAATGAGCAATGAATGCAGACTGCAGATATGAGCAGAAACACTAACTGGAGTGGACTGGTGACTGTAAGGAAATGCTTTCCTTGGACTATTTCTAACTTAATAATAATGGGACTGAACAAATAGCAAGAAAACTAATTATACATTCAAATCATGTGTGCAATAATTGTACAATACACAGCTTTAGATGTTTCTGGAGGCAAAAATTGCATAAAATTATTGTGTAAAAATGGAATCTCTTCTTGGCAGAATCAATAGACCTCAATGAACATGGGTGATTTCTTGGTATCGAGTTTTTTTTTTTTTCTTCTTCTTAAGCAAAATTTACAAATATTCAACAGATTTGAGATCAGAAGCCAAACTGTATTAATGTAGGAACAACCAACTGTGTAACATTTCTCGCATCTGAAGCAAACTGTTCCTATTAGAGGTAAAAAAAATTAAGTTGGGCTGTTCAAGAACAAGGCCCTTCTGCAAAACGTTTGAGTGAAACAGAAGTTTTCTGCTGCCTCCAGGAAGAAGCCAGATGCCTCATCAAAGATCTGGAGAGAGAGATCCAAGCCTTCATGCCATCACTGTGGGATTATTATAATTACTCAATTGCAGCAGCCTGTCTTTACACTGGTAAGCAAAGGCGTGACCACATATCATACTAGTTTCACTTCACTGGCTTCCAGTGTGCTATTTTTTTCTACTTGGTTCCTAAATATCTAGAGAGACTGGTACGCCAGTACCTCCTCGAATTGCTATTTTTCTTATAATCCCAACAGAAAGCTCAGATGAGCAAATTACTGCTGAAAATCTCTGAATTTTGGCTGAAGACTGGAGGTGAGAGAGCCTTCAGGGCTGCTGCCGCTCCTGGACTCTGGAACAGCCTGATGATGTACATTAGACCGTCTTCAACCCTTGAGAGTTTTACATCTGTTGTAAAGACTCATTATTTCTCCTTGGCTTTTAATCTAGTTTAAGCATGACTCCTACAGTCTTTTTATTTATGTACTTTAGTATATACTATGCAGAGATTCTAGATGTATGCTGACTGGATGTGAACTTTGTACATTTGAGATTTGGGACAAACTGACAGACACCCACCAGACACAGTGGTGGTCCAGACGAAGCACGCAGACGCCACAGATCCGACAATGTCCCGCCCTCGGCGGCCGCACAACCCTGCACACTGAACACCAGTTCCTGCGGCCACTTTCCTTCAACTCCAGCCCCTCTTGCTCCGAGGATCCGATCCGCTGGACTGCCGTCATTGATACCTCCTGCATCCCCCCATTGAAGGAAGAGTCTTTGTCTGGCGGGGCGCTGTAATATGTCACTGTGCTGTGGACGGCCTGTTGATCCAGCCGAACGATGCCAGGATCTCTCTTGGTGTAGATAAGAGTCAGCAGGGTGAGGCCGACCCCTATGCTCACAGCCGCCAGCTCAGCCTCACCAACATCCCCACGTGGAAACACCTCTGAGACGAACAGGTAATACATGTACCCCAAGGAGAAGAGGGCCAGGCTGAGGAAGAAGAGTGTTCGTCCCTTCTTGCGGTGGGTGAAGAAGTAGTACCACAACACAAGGCCGGGCAGAGCCGTCAGAACCAGCACACCGATCAGGAAGTGGAAAGCAGCGAGGTGAAGCAGGGCAGGAAGGAGGACGAGAGGAGGAACGATGGACAGATCCAGTTTACGGGCTCCGCCCCAAAACCAGGGTACACGGATCCGGTCGGAGACGACTGCAGCCACATGCGACAACGATTCCGGTTTCTGAGGCTCTCTCTTTAGAAACCTAAAGAAACAAACAAAAAAAAAAGGGTAAAGTAACTTTTTTTACAGCCTCCATTAGGCTTGAGTTTATCACAAAGGGTTCAACATGTTTCCAAAAGAGTTAACAGCTCCAGCTTTTTTATTTGGCACACATCAATACATTCCTTTTCCTCCACTTCCTAACAAGTCTTCATGGCCTTTTGGGCAAGAGATAAAGAAGAATGTGTAGCCATTTTGTTTGTCTGATTTCCTACAAACATTTCTGTAAAAGGGGTTTCCTTTTACAGAACCCACGGTTGGGTTGTGAGACCTTAAAGTATATCTTGGTATTTGTATGAAATGTTTTATGTTCTCAGATTTAAAACCTCTCAAGTTCTCACAGTAAAGAAATCACAACACAAATACTCTATCTTCAGTCCCGAGTAGCTTTTCTTCATATTTATCTCCTCCCACCTGTCACAGGCGTCGTCCAGGTCCTCGCAGTCGCAGCAGCAGGCTGCGACGTGGCTGCGCTCCCCGTGTCTGTTCACATATTCGCAGCAGCACAACACTTCCTCCTTCTCCTCCTCCTCCCTCTTTGCTCGCTTCTTCATAGCCAGCGGCACTGCAACCTGTAGGATGTTTCAAAACGAAAAAATATATATATATTTACGGGTGTGTTGTTTTTGTCAGCAATGAGGGTATGTGTTGCCCCTTGAACTTATCCACATGTCTCTTTGCAAAATCAAACTTTAGTATGTTTTATTATTATAGTATCTTTCTAATATTATTATTACATAAATTGAGACACAGAAATCTTCAGCTCAGAGGGTGTAAAAGCTTCTTCCAGGCACTGTAGATGAAATCAGCAGTTAAATTACGTGGAAAGTGGAAGATGAGCAACAGGAAGGGAAACACAATAAGTAAAAATGACTCCAAGCCCACTTTGCTGAAATAATCTCTTAATGCACCAGATTATCAAACACTTGCACATGTTTTAGACGATGAAGCGCTTCTGATCCCGTTTTTTTTTTCTCTCTCCCCCCGCCCCCCACACATTGCTGCAAAGCCTCTGCTCACTTGACCCGACCCGATCTGTCTGATTTCCGCACATCTGCGACACATCTGTCATGTGTTTTAATGATGAGCCCTCCTCCCACCCTCTTCAGCCTCGTTTATAGTCCAGACGAATTTAAGCTGAGGTGTCGTGAGCATCTATAACAATCCCACAAGTGTGCAGCTAGATGGGATTAATCATCTGGATGAGTCTAACCTTTCCCTAAAGCGGGAGGTCCGGCTCTGTTGAGGAGGTCTGAATGAGCCTCTGAATGTGGGCAAAAACAATTAATAATCCGACCAACATGTCTAACGGGGATGCTGAAGTCAACTACTGAGCCTACAAGCATCTCCCTGCAAGCTCACAGGAAGGGTACTAAAAGAGGACAAGCTGGCTTACGCCCACTGATTAGTGGACCCGAGGCAGCATCAAACACTACATCTGCTCTCGTCTGCCAAAAACGAAAGGATGACTAATGCAACAATTCATAGCATTAGTGAGGCACACAGCAGTTGTCAGCCTGTCCTGCTGTGCTCTGACAGCTGCGGTTCTTTGAGTGCCTCTGCAGGTGGGATTAAGATTAGGAATCTCTGCAGTTGATAACACCCACGAATCTGCTGACTGTGTAACCATGAGACTCCCAGCTCTGCAGCTGGGATCCTTCTGGTACCTTTTTAGTAAGTCAAAAACTCTTTATCTCTGAATGTAAAGCATGAGTCTTTAAGGATTACTGTCTCCAGCGGCCGTTGGGTGAGAGGCAGGGCACATTGTGGACAGTCCATCACAGAGCAAGACAGAGACGCATAACTATGCACACCCTCTTACCAAAGGGAAAGTCAAAGAGGTTTACATGCATGACTTTATACTGTGGGAGGAGACTGGAGTTCCCAGTGAGAACCCGCTCTTGATTTGGGGCAACACGCAAATGCCTTCTCGCCCCAAAGCAACAGTGCTAACCACTGCGACACCAAGCAGTGATCAAAAGAGCAACCTGTATCTTGACAACTAAACATCTGTATTTGTCATCAAGCCATAAACAAGCAAGTATTGAACAGATAAATTAACTCCCACATTTTAAAAGTGGCAATACTGCTAGCTCACCTGCTGCTTCATTATTACCATACTTAATTCCAGTCTCACCCACCAATTTTAATGGTCTGAAACACAGATGGGATGTAAAATGATTAATTTTCCAAAATTTGTGTCTTCTATACTGTTTTATCTTTCAAGAGATGCACATCTCATTTCCTACAGAAATACATAGTAATCTTAGTGTATATAAACTTCTAAATGTGAAGAAAACAATAACTAAGAAAAAAAAATGACGTGTGATCAATTTTTCAGTTTTGCTGGCCTTGCCAAGTAAAAATAATTTTGGTCTGACTTAACATAGGACGGTATCAAAATTTATCTACGAGGAATTCAACTTTTTTTTTTTTCATGGCAACATGCTGTTTTAACCAGAGGCGGTTGTCAATGGGGCCTTCCCTGCTTCATCTGACCATCCCAACCGATTAAGGTTAGAAAATGAAATGTAGTGGGTTCAAACACCACAGCACATTGGTAGCTTTATATTCAACAGCAAACAGGGGATGCCAACTCTCCCCTCATGAATTCATGCATAAAACCAATACAATCACTCTCTCCTTCTAATGCTACCCTAGGCAAATAACCACATCACTGGCTTTAACCATTAGAATGAAACTTCTATAGACCATTTCATGACAGAAAAAGGAGAAAAATAAATAAGTCATTTTTGCTTTGTTTCCCACAAAAGATTTTGTCAATAAATATGTCAAATTTGATATAGGTTGTCTGTTTTCTTTTATAGAAGAAAAAATGAGAAAGAAAGCCAAGCTTATATTTCTACACTTTTTAAATACCGTTTAAAAAAAGTTAAATTTAATTATTGCTCTTCAAACACATCACCCACGCAAGCTGACTTTACTTCATAAACATTATATGAAGTAAAGTCATATAAGTCTCATCATTCAAGACGATGAGACTTGAATGTTGTGTTCGTGAATATGTAATGTATAAACACATTAAAGACGCCATAAAGTTTTAAGTCACTAAGTTACCTTAAAAGCAAAAATGAGACATTTTTAATGCAGTTTGCAGAGCTCAATAATGCCGAGAGCTTTATTTATTTAACTATTCTCATCATATAATGCAGCTTGTACGCAACCAGCAAGTCTGTCCACCTGTATGCCCGAATAGAAACGGAAACGGGGGTAACACAGACATGAACACCGACCTGCTACATGCTGGTTTTTCCTTCCACCTCCATGGGAACATCGGCTCGGTCCTCCTCAGCGGAAGCCTCGGTGCTGGCAGCCGCGGTTCGTATCCGCTACACGAGACTCGGTGTGCGGCGCAGGGTACCAGGACACCGGTCCCTGTTGAAGGTATTAAAGTGTCAGAGTCCACAAAGAGCTTCCATGGGGTTCTGCTTCCTGGTTCTGGCTTAGCTTTTGAGCGAAGTCCCCGGTGTGTGTGCAGCAGAGAGGAGATGTTTCCTTTTCCTTCCTGGTGTCGAATGGAGCACTTTTCCCCGCCCAGAACTTCTACAGCCACATAATTACATATTACAGGCGGCATTTAGCTACATCGAACGTTTTTCTTTGCACACTTCAGCGTCTTGCATGTTTTGAAACTAGGTCTTGCATGTTTTGTTTTGAATTTAGTTCGGGAATACACCACCAGAGGCGGTTCTTATGTGAATACTGCCATGGGCTATTGCCTTTCTATCCAGCCACCCAATAAATCTGTTTGTGGAAATAATCTTTTCATGTTTAATTTACTTTTGTATAAATTTGTATAGACAGACAATTAGTTCAACTGTTTTAAGGAATCTATCTTTGAAATGTGCATTTAACAACAAAAAAACACAAATAGCATTGTCTGGAGACTAGTCATATTCAGCAAATTAGAATATTATTGAAAAGGCTAATTTATTAAAATTTTCTGAGTGAAATACAATTACATATGCAGGGACTGATTTTCAAGCCTTAACTTCTGTTTATGATGATTTTCAGTTTAGAGACATGTTCAATAGTATATTTAACATCTGCTTAAAGTTTATTTTCAAAAGTGCTTTAATCCAAATTTGTTTGATAAAACATTTTTGAATTTACTCCAGACTTCCAGTCATACTGGACTTGGCTAGTTGGTGGCATTCAGTGATTTGACACAAAAAAGTCCAATGAAGCTGCAGCACCCAGAAACTGCTTTCCACTATAGAGATCAATATGTGTGAAAAGACTTGTTATCCAGGTTCTATCATGCATCAATAAGTTTAGACATATGACTTCTGTATACTACTGCAGTAGTATACAGTTATCTGCAAAGTAGGGGTAAAACTGATTGCTTCTAGATTCAAAAGCATTTTGCTGCCATCTATTGCCTGATGCAGCCAAAGCATGTTATTCAAATAAAATACAAAAACTCTACTTAAATTAGACTATAACCATTTTCTTCTTTCACGATTGTAAATAAATTCTGGCAATGGGCTAAAGTCTGCCAAAAATATACATTTGTAACAATCTCAGCTAAGAAGTTAAGCCTAAAAGCTTTAGCTCAACAAAAAGAATGTAAAAAAACTAAATGCATTTATGCAGTCCGTCTGAAAAAGTTACTTTTACTCATGTTTGTAATTCCCCTTCATGAGGGTGAACAATAAGCCTCAATCCATATTCTAGTAAGGATAATACATTTAACTGGTTTAATGGGAATATGCTGTAATTCAATCCTACTGTAGATGCCTTGTTGTACTCTATTGTGTTTAGTCAAAAGGACTAAACACAAGGAGCAATATGTACTTTAGCCAAGAGGACACAGGCTTCTGGTCAATAATTAAAGACTCTAAGCTGTGTGTTGGTTCCGTGAAATGGAAAAAGATATCAGGTTCCGTTTCATTGAATCATTTATTCTTTCCCATTTTAAGAATATGAAGTCCACCTAGCATCCAAGAATACCACAGAGTCCAAAAAGAGTCCTTTCACTTTGAACACTTAACATCTGCAAATGAAGGGATAACTATACAAGAGGAAAAAAAATAAATCCTTTCAATATAAAAAGCAAAGATAGTTTAATATAAATACAGCCTGTGAAGGAGCAGATTGACACTGTGCTGTTCCTTTAACATTCAGGATAAAAACATTGTAAACAATAAACCTGGCTCAATTGTATTGTGCATCACCAACAACTGATTAAAAAAAAAAACAGAAAATAAATCGAAATTATGCACAGTGATGAGCCTTGAAATATAAATTAAATGTATACAATAAACCAAACACCAGAGCCAAACCTTTAATTTATGTTTACTAAAATTAAAATAAAACCTTCAAGTTTGGGTGACAACAGTTTTGAGTTAAAGATTCAGAGATATTCACAAGACTTGTGCAAAAATTAAAATTCTTAAATAGTAATGCACGTACCAATACTAAAAACAAAAGTAAAATAAATATTTACACTCGTGGTACATCTCTGGGTAAAATGGAGGAATAATATGCCACCAAAAAAAAAAAAACAAAACCCTGAAGAAGTTTGCACAATCTTTCCCCTCAATAGCAGCTCAGTTAGAAAAAATAAAAATCATCCTGGGGTGCTGGCTTGCAACTTTGGCAACGCATGGCATGTCTGGAGTCGCCAGTGGAGCAACAAAGCTGTGGATACCAAGCCTCCTCTGAGGGAGTCTGCAGCAGCAGTCTGTTGCTCTTTTAGCACGGATGTGAACGCAGCTTCTTTCAGTGCAGTTGGGACGAGGATGAGGTCACTGCTGAGTTGCCGTTTGATTGGCCATAGCAAAATTCTGCTGGAGCACAGCTAGAGAGGTACGGAGCTGTGGAGGAAAACATACGACCAAGTTTGTGAAGAAGGGGCTTCTTGTTTTTACTTCGATGTAGAGACAAGTAGATATACAGAGACAGGAAAGCCAGTCGTTTGAGATGGGAAGATGGACCCATGTACAAAGCGATTCTAAAAACGATTGCAAAAAGACTTGAGATCGACCCGCCAGCAGAACACTAAACATACAGCCACTGAGAGCCAGGGAAGTTTATCTAAATTTTTTTTTAGATTTTATAACAATGTGAATCTGCCGACTTCTACAATGGGAAAATATATAGCACTAAATTCTTCGAAGCTATGACTCATTTATATTACTTTTAAAAACCCTTGTACCATTGGTTTCCTTCTGTTGATATTCTATGCTGATGTTGCAAAATTGCTAACACCACAACGTCGTATTCCCTTTAAAAATTAAAAATTTCTTACTTCGTTTTGTAAGAGTCACAATGGAGGGGCCAAAAAGGCTCTGGAGCATATTTATCTAGCAGAATGACCTAGTCCAACTCCAGACCTAAATACAATTCAGAATCTGTTGCAAGATTTGAAAACAGAGATTTCCAATTTAATCTGACTGATTTTAAGGTCGAAAAAAATGCCTTGGCTGCTTTAGATTTGTTACCAACTACTATGATTCTGCACAACATTTTCTCTTTAAAAACAAAAACCTTTACATTATTTCACTTTCAATTACAGTAAACACTTCTGTATCAGTCTACCACCTAACATCTCAATGCAATTTGGTTAGTTTATGTTACACATTAGCAGTTCATATCTTACTTGTTCTAGGAGAAGAATGGAGTCCTGCAGGACAGTTTTTAGCAGCTGCATGTCCTCATTGGTCCTGAACCCTGGCAATGGCTTGGGACCATACTTTGGTCCAAAGCTGTCAGAAAGGGACCATTATTTTCCTGCATGCAATAATGAGGTGCACTCACTGAATGCAAACTCAACAGCATGTAACTTTAGACGAGAGCTGATGCAACACCTGTTGTTCAACCATATTCACTGAGACAGCATCTACATAGACTTAGTGCAGGGAACTGAGGTGAGCTGCTTATGCAGGAAAAGAACGCTGGTGTTTTCCTGCATAAGCATCGCCTTCACAAACACCACTTCTCAGTTTTAGTCAACTATTGATTGTCCAACTATCCACAGAAATGTGTCGATTAAAAGAAGACTGGTTATCCAACCTGGTTTCCATCCGCTCCCTGAGCCGATGCTTTGTCGTGAGGTACATGCGGTGAGCCACGTCCTCCATGGCCCACAGCTTGAAAAACAAGCCCAGATTGAGTACTATCAGGATCAGCAGACTGAAACCAGGAGAAAACACAGTTTATGTCACAAGAACAAAAGACTGTGGTATCAGATGATCGACAGACGCAAAAGGTTGCGACATTTGCAGGTTTGACAAGTAGTGACTTTGCATGCTCGAGCTGGAAAGACGCATATCCTCCCAAACAAAATAGAAAAATCACAATATTCAGCTGCCTCTTTGGTTTATCAACTTACATTACACTCATGCTAACAACTATTGCAGTAGTGCTCCATCTCTGCAGGCCTGTGGTATCCATGGGGCCTGAAAGAGAACAAGATTTAAATAGGCTTAAGTTTTTTTGGCATACAGACATAAGTAGAATTTTGAATTAATAAGAAAACTTTGCACTGGTTTAATGTAACAGGATATGCTCTACTAGGGACAGGAAACGTTTTGCAACAGAACCGCGAGATAAATGTTGCCCCATTCTTCTGCTACAATGTCTTACATTTTTTCAAATTGGCTTCCCTCTTCAGAAACTGTATGCAAATGGCATCCATTTGCCACCAACTTTGTCATGCAAAACACTACATGGTTATACCAACCTATATGGTAAAGAAAGTACAGTTGGGTAACTTTATTTTATGTCTAAAATATTTCAGTACCCATGTTTCCATCTCTGTGCTCAGGATCCTGTCCTGACTGCTTGCCGGGCTTTCCATGATCCAGTAGGGTCCGGCTGAACGTTCGCCTCCTCCTGCGGACCCCAGCTTTTCCAGACTCGCCGACTGCTTGGTTCATCTCCGACTCCTCTTCCAGCAGTTCAGCTTCTGTATCGCCACGAAGAACATATAGAAAAGGACAGTTGGGCTAAGAAGTTATTTAAAAAGAACTACCCACTGTATTGTGAGCTAGTTTCTTGTTCAAGTTTTTTGCAGACTGTAGGCAAAATTCCCGTTAAACAACTCTGAATAATAACCATCCACAGATTCAAGAAGTTTTATCTGCAACTGTTAGTTTTTTTTTATGTTCATAATCATTAGCTTCATCCATCTTTTGCATGGATTTATAACATCAAACATACACTTTTTCACGTTACAACCACAAACTTCATATAAGAATTCTATGACCAAGAGCAACACAAAGACACACATGTAATAAAAATTGTGTCATGTATTAGTCATCCACATTAACTCAGATATGGATGGGGAAAAGGCAGGGCAACAAACTGCCTAGAAGTTAATCAATAATAGCTGTAAATTACAGGGGACACAGCAAACATGTACAAGAACAAATGAAAGGAATAAAACCCATTACAGACAGCAACAGGCTTCAGATTGAGGCAGGACATCAGCAGTAAATATAGAGCAAGGGTTGCAAATCAAAAGGTTTAGATCAAATTGTATTAAAATGGTTAAATCAAAGTACAGACCCAAATCTAAAGGAAAATTTAAAAAAAATTGAAGACCATCAGTGAACATGAATTTTCAATCTGAATCAGCTTGTGCAACTAAACAAAAATTTTCAAGAGAAAAAAATAAATAAATAAAAAATCTTCGTCGACTATTAAGTACAGCTGTGCGTTGTTTTAGGCTGTTTTGCAACAAAATTACCCAAAAAAATGTGTCTGCATGTGAAAACCATGCGTCTCCTCTGCACCCCCATTCACAGTTGCACCATTTTGTGTTTATCTATTCCACAAAAGCATAAAGCCGAGATTGCACAGCACACTGTGTTGTTCCTATTGCCAGATCGTTTTTAATTCTCCATAGCGATATGACTAATTCACACACAATAAATGATGGTTTATAATAAACGGCAGCTTTGTGTGACGTGCATTTAGAGCAGCTGATAATAACTGCAATATCAGCCCTGATATTCTTTGCCCTTCCTGCAGACACAGCAGTAATATGATTCAGCAGTGCAGTGCTATATGTGTGCCGGAAGAAACTGTTCTCATCAGATAAAACATAAAATAAATCACAGAGTGACAACAAAAAGTAAAAAAGGATAAGCCCTTTTCTGCCTTTGGATCGTCCCAAAAAAACTCACCCAGTTGTCTAAAATAATCTTCAATGCCACTCCAGGAGTTTTTTGTAATGAAGGTTTTGATTAGACCAAATGTTGGTTTGCTGTACTTCACATCAGAGTACACCCTAACAAAACAAACAAAAAGAACAAAACAGAGACTTTTAGTTCAAATCCATTAACATTTAAATAAATAGTATGCACATTAATTAATTCATCACCTTAGTCGACACTTCCGTTTGGAGACTCGTATGATATAGTAGCGGTTCTGTGTGTAGAAGTGATCATGGTAGGGGACGTCATGAGTGTACACCACGGCATCCACCTGGTAATACTGACCCTCCCTGGATTCTTTGGACAGAGTCTGGCGAGGTAAATGAAGCTCAAATAAGCCAAACAAAAAACATGTTTACACGTCTAGTCAACCATTCACACGGACAGAACCACACCTGGTTCTCTGTGGCGGTGGAGAACTTCCCAATCAGGGGGTTATTGATGGCTACAGTGTAGCTCAAAACCCGCTTGTCATTTCCTGAGTCGTCCTTCTGCCAAGCAGTAGAGCTCGGATCTGAAGACACAAAATGGGAAAACTTTATTAAAAAGCTTCCATGAACACGTTTTAATACGGGAGAAATTGATGTAAGGTCCTACTCGTTATGCTGCGGATTTCCATAAACCTTTGAGTGAAGCTGGAGTCTGTGAAGAGCAGCTCAAACAATTTGCTTGCGCTCATGTGGAAAACCTTGTTGAGGTACAGTCGCCCCGGTTCCTCGGATTTATCAATTCGATCCTCCACTGGTGGAGGCAAACACGAGAGCAACGTAATGAACAGAAAAACAAAAAAACAATCCACATCGCCATTATCCTCTTACCTTCTTCACTGGTTTCTGAGCCACTTTGCTCCAACAAGTTCTCGTTGGCGTTGAGGTCAAGGGACTGAGTGGAACGCTTGGAGAGCCTTTCTGCGGGATGACGCGCCAATGGAAGAGTCGGACTTCGGTGTAGGGACGGGGAGTTATGAGACTCAACCTGCAGGAAATGAATAGCATTCTAAGAGGATAATTTGAGTAAAGAAAATACTGAGTAATGTAGGAAAAGAAGATGATACCGTGTTTGTTGTCCTTGGTGAGCTCATGGGTGAAGGCATCTCCTCTCCTTGAGGTGTGGAGCTCTGCAACGGGACATGCTCCACCACTGGGAGAAGGAGGCTGTTGGGCCGCTCTGGTCTCCCGAGACCTTCATCAGCGGCACTGATGAACTTCTGCTGCAGACTAAAAACAAGCAAACAAAAACAAGATTAAAGCTGGCACCAAACTTTTCTGTAGAATCAACCTTCCTTTTTAGAACATGCTGCCATGGTCATGATTTCTATTTTATTTTATTTTTTTGCCATTCCCTTGTAAATTATCAATAAAGATATAAGCTATGCCTTCCCCAAAAACAGTTTATGCTCATATTTGCCTCTTGTGACATCTTATGTCACAGGCACATTATAAGATGAAGACCTAAATCAGAGACATAGGTCTTCATCTTTTCCCCTCTTTGCAATCAAATGGTTGCTGGTTATTTTGCTCCTTCGCCCTTTACAAGATAAATTCAGAGTAATATACAAATTCGTACAAGTAAAATTTTTGAAGGCAATCGCCGCCATCTTCACCGTTTTTCTTCAGCTTTGCCATGATGAGTCAAACTCTGCCTTAAACATGCGGTGCTAAACCCCGAACTACTGAGATGAAACTCGAATGCTTCAGAGTCCTGAAATCAGTGGAAGGTCACTATAATATATTAAGCTGATCAGTTGGACTTGGTTGATTCTTTTGCCTCTTGTGACGTCACACAGACATGCACAATGCAGGTTTATATCTTTTTACGCTTTTTTATTCATTTAATTTTTATCGTGTTTAAGGGAGTTATTTTGAAATCTATACTCCAAATTGTGTTTTAAAGGTCATCATTTGTTGGCCAAAGAAAGAATGAAACCCTGTGGCATCTTTAAAGTCAGGGGGGGAAAAAAACAAAACAAACACGGTCAAGGTCCCAAGAGCTGAGGCCAAGTTACCTGGTCTGCCCAGTTGATTCTGTTAACACCTGTAAATTCTCCATCTCCTCATTGTTCAGGCCCAGATCATAGCCATAGTGCTGTTTGATCATCTGCCACAGCTCCGGGCACGTCAAAGTCTAAAATAAAGATAAATAAACATAAATTAGAAGCATGCAGAGGTCTCCTCCTCCTGCATTCTCTTGGTACCAGAAGGTGAGCACAAAAACAAGCAATTATGCAGCTGGTGTATAGCCTGGAGAACTCCATAAGGAATAATTTACAGTCTTATCTCCATGGGTGACAACCTACAAACACAATCATCCGTCAACTAGGTCAGTCAGGTTGCACTACTGTGTTCTCACTGCAAAAGAAGCTCGGATTACCCAATATCTTTTTGGGGAAAAAGCCAAAAACAAACTTCAAACGTGAGGAGCTAGAAATGGACACAGATCTGCTCATTCAGCCTGATAAAGGAAAAAAAAAAAAATAATTCCATTATTTTAGCGTAGGCGTTAAAAACAAGCACAAAGTTCCAGTAAACCGGTTCGTCGGGGTTCTCCTACCCGTCAGAGGACATATCCCCCTGCCGCTGTGCGATCCGACCGGGTTCTGAATGGCGTATGACCTGAACGCACCAGCGCACATTCAGGAAGTCCGTAAAGACGCGCCGCCCAAACACCAGTTAGATATTTAATAGAAACCCTCCTCTTCTGCGCAGAGAGAGAAACCGAGATCCGAGCAGTAAGTCTTTGACGCCGAGCTGCGGCGAAGTCCGTTTAGTTGTCGACACAAATCTCTTGGCCACACCCAGATGGGGTCAATGAACTCAGGTTGTTACACAGGTGTTTACCTGATTGCCGTCCCCACACTGTGAGAGGGGAACCGTTCAGGGAAGGGGAAAAAAAAAAAGGGCTGCAGCAGCAGAAATCAAATTAAAGGGCTGAAGTTCACTCTGACTGATCATAAAAATATACAAAATGAGGTCACCCTAATGCAGAATGCCTTCTCTGTGCCGTTTATTCACAACCACGATACGCTTAATAAAATTAGGCATACTCAGTTACTTCCGCCATATTTTATTAATTATTTTTAGATGCCAAAATTTTAGTCGGACAGTTTAGTTTTGATTCTGACTGACTTTCATGGAGGCCTATAATTGCATTTTACAGTGCCTTGAAAAAAAACTTCACTGCGCTTATTGGGCTCTCAACAGTAGGTTGAGACTTGTGATTAAAAAAAAAGACAATGGGTTTCTTAAAAAAAAAAAAAAAGTTTGGTTTTTCTATGCATTTTTATTAAAAAAAAAAGTCATCTTATTTACTGTAGTATCCCCAAACAGAAAACAGATCTGATTCTAGGGCTCAGAGTTCCAAGTGTTTCTATGTGCTCCCATCTGTCACACTTTAGGTTTCTACCTGAGTCCACCTCTTAAAAAGGCTTTAGCCAACATGCAGTTGCAGTTTTTGTACAAATTGTGGTTTTTGAAGTGCAGAAGTAAACATGTCTATTTTGGGGGAACGAGATAGACCTGCTTTCCCATGTTACTTTAATCAATAACTGAGCCAAAGGTGAAAGCCTAGATCCTGTGGGTTCATTTTGTACTATACCCATGACTTCCATGAGTAAACTTCAAACCTTACCTCAACCTGTAGAACAGTAAACAAAAACTCAGTCTGTTGAACTAGTGCAAAAACCTTGCAGTTCGTCACCGATATCAGAGAGTCCGTCTGTGGGACTTCTGTATCTGCGTACAGAAATTTGCTTTCTAACTGGACATACTGGTCCTCAGGAAGGAGATTGGACGGTAGAAAATTGACTTCCAATGAATAGCAGTCATTCCTCCTATTGGAGCCCGACTGCTCCTCTGAAGAGTCTTACCTTGTCCAGCAAACTGTTCTGCCATATGCGGAAAACACTCAGATAGCTTTTCTCTCTTGCAGAGAAGGAAGCGAAGAAATACTGTGGATGAATGATGAACAACATTTACAATATATTTAGGATTATGTACTTTACTTTTACATAAAGAAGGTCTAAATCAGGTCTTTTTTTTGCTCCAATACCTTCTCGGTACGTGTGCAGATCTGGATGGCATTGGGGATCAGTCGAGCTGTTTTCTCTCTGGACATTGTGGTTATATCTTTGAGCGACAGTATAATCTGTAAATGCATAATAAATAAAGAAATGTTATGAAAACCACCAGTGAGTGCTTTGATAAGTGATGAGTAACTTGACCCATTTTAGAATCATGTTTTCTGCAAATGTAACTGATGCATACAATCTTTTTTTTTTTTTCTTGGGAAAATAAATATGGAATCGCCACTCTCTCAGTCTGACCAAAAGCCATGACAATAAACCATTTTATTTTCCAAGAGGAAACATTGGCTTTGTACAAACATATCTTAAAATATGTAAACCAAAAACAATATTCTTCATTTTCAATGTGTGCTTTATAAAACCAGAATGTTCTATAAAAATTAAAAAAAACTTGTTTTTGCCTTGTTCTGTTTTTATTTGCTACACATTCTCCCCAAAATCTAATTATTCTATAACCATTTCCTGAATCTTAGGTGTTTGGGTAATGTGGATTGTAACAAACAGCTGATCCGTTTAACACAAGCAAATATAGATACAGGAGACCAGATGTCTTCAGTCTTCTGAAACCATTGCTCTAATAAACTATGTTGATAAGCAAACGTGACCCTATGAATCTCTACAGATAATCTGTGGGGCGGGTATTCTCTGCTTTGGTTCAATTTTATCAGATAAATTCTAATAAATAAACTAAAATAGAACTGTTTGTACTTATTGTTTTTACATTTATCATAACTTAATTATTAACCCATTTTTAAAGAAACTAAACTGCTCTTTTTAATTAATTATGTTGGAGCACAAGATGTTTTCCATTGGAACAGTTGTTTTTCACAGGTTCAAAAACAAAAGACAATTTATTTGTAATTTTTTTATGGACAACATTGGGGATCATTATTGAAAGTTAAGACTCGTTTCCGGTTCCTCGTCCTTCCCCCTCGCCCCATCGGTCTCATTACCTTTGTGCCACGAAACACATAGCTGTAGAAACAGATCCAGTTCTCTGAGAGGTAGAGGCGTCCCTGAAGGAGGATGTCCCGGTGGAGGGCACAGGGATAGTCTGAGGAGAAAGCATACAGCAGACACCCAGTACAGACAAATAAGAACACCTGAAGTTTTATTTTAAAACTTTCAGCTTTATCTCAGGAACTTATTTCAAGACATCGTGGAATAAGCAGCTCAAATATTTGCAAATCTATCCAAAACTTGAGAACTAAAGTTTCCCCCCTCCCCCCCACCAAAATTAGCCTCCAAATATGATTTTTTTAAAATAATACTCTCTCCCCCCAATCCTGAACTTACCTAAAATGAGTATTTCTGAGTCAGGCAGCTCCTTGAACAGCCTCTTAAACTCCTCCACCCTCTGTTTGTAGCTTGGCAGAGGAGACTGAGGCACAGCGAGACATGGACCCAGAGCATCGGAGCTCTGTTGTGGGAAATGGGAAGATTACAGGTTCAAATAAATTTAAAACTCAAAGTTTCAGAACATCTCTTCTGCGTCTGTGTCTGAAACGGATGATGCAGTCGAAAATAACGCAATACTGCATCCAAACCACTAGATGGCAGTGAAAGATCTTCATTGTATGTGTAATATTGTTAGTTTATTATTCTAAGCAACCTTTGTCCTCATGACTAAAGTCAGTCTGAGGAAAGTGTGTAATGATTTTGAAGATTTTCAGGTCTGTGCTCCAGGTTCTTGTTTGTTTTAAATTTCCCTTACATCTTCATCCGAGCTCAACTGGACGTCCAGCAGGGATCCCGTTTCATCCGTGATATCATCACTGCCCACTCCAGACCGGTTGGAAAGTTGGTCCATCGGCTCTGCTGGGCTGCTTAGAACAGAAATATCCAGGTTTACACTTAAAGACAATACAGTAACAGAATGGAAAGCTATAAAAGTTGTCAAGAATAAACCATTCAAATCATCAAGACCTGTCGATGTTTCACATAAACCTGGTGTACAAGATTTTTACTCTGAATGGTTCCTCTATACAACAATACTTATGAAACAAGTTTCCCCCTTTACTGTGGATGTTTCGCCACTCAGTTGCCTTTATGAACAAAAACAAGACCAAAATAATTTGGCTTTTTAGACAAGAATTTTAAATAATTATAATAATATTGAACTGACAAACTTTTTAGATGGTGAAGGCACCTTTAGAACTGATTAAATCGGTGGTACGTCTGAACATTGCTCAGGTGTGAACAGCCTTTTTCAGCCACAAATTGAGATCCGGCCAAAGTTGTAATTCTCCACCAGACTACGTCAAAATATTGTCCACTATTGGGTGATTTTTACTTATCCAATTTATTTAGCATAAATGCATGTTTCCTTCTTCTTATACACCTATTCACCATAAAGGGATTCTAACGCTCCATTAACTGCATGTGCATTAAACCAATATAAACCTTAATAGAGTGCAAATAAATATATACTTTACATGATTCTTCTGTCCCCCCCCACCCTTCTAATGCCACCCTGAGCAACTGCCCAACAAAACCTCCCTGGGCCTTTGTATTAATTTTATGTAAGTAGATGACAGCTAATGAAAACCCAAAATTCAGTTTTTGAGAAAATTGTATAATCCACTCAACTCTGCAACCAGAAGCGCCTGACCTTACGTTTTAATGAGAAACATTAAAATTCGACTGATCAAAACAAGTTTGTCTTCAAAAGTGCCAAAGCGGTCAGCAAGTCTAACTTTAAAGGTCAAGAGGAAAATCGTAATGCGCCAGAGCTATTCAAAGAAGCTACAGAAGTCAGTATCATTCAAACAAAAACTGGTTTGTCTGGAGATCTATACTTAGGACAGGTTTAATCCCGCTTTTGAATAAACAACTTCATCACCTTTCCACACCACAGCAAAGTTAAAACCACCAGATCCGAGTCAAAATACAAAGCAGCCGTTTTCTCCGATAACAGCCATCATCAGCTGATCTGTAGGTATGTCAATCAGATAAAAGTCGCCCGCTGTTCCCCTTCACCTCCAAGTGCCTACGTGTGGGTTATCCACGCCAGACCAGCAGGCATCGGTCACTTACCTAACACGGAGAGGACCCAGGGTTCCGGTTCTGTCTGGCCGAGGTTTAAAAAGTAGATTCGTTTGGTTCTGAAGCCTCTGAGGTTGAGTCAAATGTGCTCCTCCTTCTGCTTGCTGCTTCAGCAGGTGCGTCTCATCCAGCCGGGAGGGGGAAAAAAAACGCCTTGTGGGTGTTGACGCCTCACTGATGACGCTTTAAATCAGCTAGTTGGGATCCAAACCTTTTATTAACTAGTCCTCTAGGAAAGCAGGGTGATTGAATATAACCAGGTGTTTGTGGTTTCGGAAATTATGCCCAATTTTAAGAGCAAATCAGAGTTGATTTAAGTGATTTCTTAAAAATAATTTAGAAATTATGGACATCAGTGTTTGTATTTAAAAATCTAAACAATTGCAGAACACACCTTAAGTTAATCCAATTTAATTATGAATAGAGTCAGCTCTATATTTAAGGGTTAAGAAAAAAAATGTCTTTGCTTTGCTGCTGCCATAGAGTTGACGTTCCAGTGTTACAATCATGCAGAAATACCAGTTTAGCTGCATAGATACACACAATGAGGTTGAACAAAACATTCGACACCTTTTTTTTTGTCCCCCCCACAATGATTTAATTCTTTGAGAGTATTATGATGAAACAGTTGGGCTTTCACGCAGCAAAGTACGTACACAGCACTACACAGCCTGAAATACAACCATAAAAACATCAACAAAATTAAAAAAAAAAAAAAACAGCAGCAAAAAAAACAGCAGCAAAAACAACAGAAGAAATGCTGGCAATAAATAGACTGATCTTCTTAAATTTATATTCAATACTCTTCTGTACAGATGGTCTGAATTACAACACATTGACTGAAAAAATCTTCAGGAAAAGCAACACAGCTACACAGAAATCATGTAAACAAAAAAAAAAAAGTAATGCACACATATTTAACACATTCACATACACGCACACACACACAGTCGGTGACCATGCAGAGGATCCAGAGTACGCCTGTATGAGGCGACAAATAATGAATACAGTACATCTTTCTCTTTTTCCCCCTCCACAATAAGTTTCACACATGTGCGCATACACACACACACACACGCACACACACTCGCACGTTCACCCACAGAGGATCACAGGGGAAGCACACGATGTCTGGGAATACACGGAGGTGGAATGTGCTCAGAGGTGGAGGAGTAGAGATGGAAAGACTGGAAGGGCAGCGTGAGCCTATTCCTCCAATGTGCGGAAGGCGTTCTGCATGTCCTCCAGAAGCTGCGCGTACTCAGCCTTAATCTTGGTCTCGCCGTCCTTAACCGGGTCCTACAAACACACATGCAGAAATCCAATCAAACAGTGAGAATTAGGGCTCCAATAAATCTCACATCTAGTAGCTACAGACTCTCAGCGTTTTACATTCACTTTAAAATGAAAAACCTCGAACGTAAGGGTGGATGATAAATTGATTTAATTGAATTTTTGTTTTTTGATGATTTAATTTTTGGGAAATCTGGAATTTTTTTTTTTTTTTTTTTCACCAATGCTGTCCTTGGGTTTCCATAGTTCAGAGTGATGTCACCACACTCAATGCCAACCATCTTGTTTGACAAGCATGTTTTACAGCTTGTATTTATCTGGACTTTGAATTCAGGCCAACTCTTCGATGCAGAATTAGACTCAAATTAGATTTTTTTTTTTCCTAATTACAAAAATAAAGTCAAAATATTAAAATGTTACAAGAATACAGTAGTGATATTAGGAGAAAGAAGCAGTAATTTTATGAAAAACAAAAGATAAAACATAAACTGAGGAATGTTGAGAATCTACATTAGTTATTCTTTGGTATAAGTCTTATAGATAATGATTAATCTCTTCACACACGACCATCAAATTATTATCAGTAGGAGGAGGACTTCTAAATGATCACGCAAAATAAAACTGTCTATTTCAAAGAAAGAGCAACATGAACTGATGTGGTCACGTCAAATCCTGATAACAAACTATTTTTCTCATTAAAACAAATTCCTTCTGGTAATTTTAAGGTGTTTTTTTTTCCTGGTAAAATTATATATTTATTTTGCTAATACTATGGCCGTATACTCCTTAAAACAAACATTCTCGTAGCCCTGCCACAATACACTGTAATTCATCTCACAGACCGAATGATTGAAATAAAAGCCATTTTAAAAATATATATATTTTATGTCATTTGTAATTTCTTTTTTAGAAAATAAAAAAACCAAAACAAAACAAAACCAGATCTATTAAATTCAAAAATTGGATCCGGTATGAAATAAAAATAAATAAATAAAAAAAATCTGAGATTTTATGTTTGAGCTTTATCGTCCAGCCCTATTCGAACATTCACTTTAAATGTATGCAAGACCCATAAACCTTCACAGCGAACCCAAATTCACCTTGAACTTCATGGAGCTAATTCTGTAGAGGATTTCTCCCATGTGCTCCCTGATCATGGCCCAGGTGATCTTGTTGTCGCTCTGGGCTGTGGTCTCCACCGCATGCCGGGCCATGTCATAAAAAGCTATCGTGTTGGACAGAATGCCCACTGTCTTGTAGAAGGGGCAGAACCTGAGGAAGTAAATTATTATTATTATTTATAATGGTTCTTTTACAGTGTGATAGAGGCAGTGCCAAGTAGACAATACCCCCAGGGTGGCGTTTTACCTGTCATATGGGGTGTAACCGTTCTGCTGAAGGAAGTCATCTTTAAGCAGTTTGGCCACTTCTAGAGTGATTTTATCGGTTTCTGCCAATGAAGCCTATCAAAAGGAAATTCATCTTTAATTCATAGTGAACACCACATGATTTAGGTGCTTCAACAAACAAAAGCGGAATATATTTTGTGGACTTGCCTTTCCAACAAGCTGCACAATCTCGGCCAGGTCTTCTTCCTCCTGCAGGATCTCCTTTGCTTTGGTACGCAGTGGAACGAACTCCGGGAAGTGCTTGTCGTAATATTCGTCCAGAGCGCGAGTGTATTTACTGTAGCTGATCAGCCAGTTGACGGAGGGGAAGTGCTTCCTCTGAGCCAGCTTCTTATCCAGACCCCAGAACACCTGAGGAGGGGGATGACCCACGTACTCGGTGAAGCATCCGCCACTGATAGAGCGGGTGCGTTTGAGAAAATGGACAGATGGACGAGAGTGTAACTGCTTACCTGCACAATACCAAGCGTGGCTGAAGTAACGGGATCAGAGAAGTCGCCACCAGGAGGTGACACACTGAGAACAGAGCAAACGATTTATTAAACCACTATCTTCCACAACAAATAGGGTTGAAGTCCGTACTTTCCCATACTTTTCCCATGCGCTCATCTACTTCTCAGAATGTCCAACATTTTGTGTTAATTTCAAAGTTTAAAAAGAAACCTTCCATGATGAATTTATGGCAGGTATGTAAAAAGCAGAGTTTGAATCTAATATCAGCACAAAATAAAAATGGAGGGACTGAAGACGGATAGAAATAAAGGACGCAGGGAAGGAAGTGAACTAGAACACAATGAAGGAATGACGGAAGTAAGGACAAAACAATGGAAAGTAGTAAGTATGCAAGACCCTAGGACAAAAAAGAAAGGAGGTAGCAAATATACAAAATTAAGATGTGGGACACAACTAAGGAAGAAAGGAAGGGCAAAAGAAAAAGAAATAATGACAAGTGTTGAACTATATAAGGAAAGGAAGGCAACAAGGAAACAAAGGATGCAAGATATAAGGAAAGTAGAAAGGACACAAGAAAGACAAATAGGCAAAAAGATAGGAACAGAATTATCTCTGTTCCTATCTTTTTAGGAACAGATAGGAAGATGGATGGATAAGTAAGGAAGACAAAAAGAGTGATAGAAGAAAGAACACAGGATACAGGGAAAGGAATGAAAGCAAGGGCATGAGAGAGTGAAGGCCATGAATAAGGCAGAACAGAGCAGATTAGAACAGAATAGAGTATTGGATGGGTAATAATGTGTGGAAATACAAATATACATTTTGCATTTACACCCACAGACCTGAAAAATACTTTCATTTCAATTCCATGCTCTTGCAGACTGTGTAGGAAACTTTGTCTCCCTCTAGTGACGCAAAGTTGTACTCACGCTCCAACAATACTGACGCTGCCCTCCCTCTCCGGGTTGCCCAGACACTTTACTCTTCCTGCACGCTCGTAGAAGGAGGCGAGTCGGGCGCCCAGGTAGGCCGGATATCCACTGTCTGAGGGTGGAAACAGAGGTTACAGCTGCATGCGGAGCGTAGTCCTACTTTTCTCCTATTCAGGTTCAAATACTGAAATGGAACGGTGCAACGCTCCACTCTCTGCTTAATCTAACAAACTATTCATAAATCAAAAGCAAAAAGCGTGAGGAGTAAACTCCGCAAAGAGACCGAAAGTGCAGCAGCTGCAGCTGATAAATTTACATAGCTGACTCTTTAGGGAAAAATCCACCACATGCTTCGTTTGAGAAGTTAAATATGAGGAAGTGAAAACTAGAATTTCATAATTTCGTTAACAGAGGTCTGTTTCACAGTAACAGATTTTTAGCTGGTGGTTCTCATATTAAACACTGCAACACATTGTGATAGTGGAAATGTTCCTTCCTTTAACAGACACAAAATGCCAGAATTATGTCTTTTAGCAAAACTAAGCTAGTCATTTGCATAAAAGGTGATTTTTAGTCCACCTTAGTCCAGAACGAACTCTGATGCTTTACAATTGTGTTGTTTTTGAATGTTTGCGTGGATTTTTGTTTCTAGCCACATTAATAGAGCTGGTAAGTCTCCAAACTCACCAGCAGGCATTTCTGCCAAACGTCCAGAAATCTCCCTAAGAGCCTCGGCCCAACGTGAGGTGGAGTCGGCCATCATGCTCACGTTGTATCCCATGTCCCTGAAGTACTCGGACAACGTGATTCCTGCAGAAACAGATTAATTATGTGCTCAAAAGTAACAAAAACAACACAAACAAAAAAAAAAAAGTCAATGTATAATTGCTCCCAGCGTTTAGGGTGCCTGGAAAAAATATTCAAACCTGTTGTTGCCATAATGCAGCCACAAACGTTAGTGTGTTTTAATGAGATCAACACAAAGTAGTCGGTCTCATTAAAATCAACTGGTTTGGTTTCCACTTTAAAATTACTTCTATAATTTTAAAGTGGAACAAAACACTAGTTTTTAATTAGTACTTAAGTTCAGTGTCTGCTGAGTCCCTTGATATTTTTACAACTGTTTGTCCATTAATGGTCTCCACAACCTTCTTTTTTTGTGTTACTCTACCACATAAAGCAGTAAGACAAGTTCAAAGAGGTACGAATAATCTGGCGATGCACAGTATGAATTGGTGACGCAGTGTTGTCGTTGGCTTCACCTGTGTAGATGGAGGCCTCTCTGGCAGCAACAGGCATGTTGGAGGTGTTGGCCACCAGCGCCGTTCTCTTCATAATGCTCTCCGTCTTTCCATCCACCTCCATCGTTAGCTGATGATCAGACAATACTGTCAGTTGCATCGAGCATTGGGCTAACTTGCTTTCAAAAAGACATCTTGATAAAACCCCTTTAATCACCTCGGGGAAGTCTCGCAGTACTTCTGACATCTCGTTACCGCGCTCCCCGCAGCCTACGTAGATGATGACGTCGCTGTTGGAGTACTTGGACAGAGACTGAGAGATGACGGTTTTTCCACAGCCAAAGGCTCCGGGGATGGCTGTGGTTCCTCCTTGCACGCATCTTCATACAGGAAGAGAAGACTTGGATTAAGAGAACATCTTCAGAACACCTTAACTCCTCTGAGAGAGGATGCGAAGCTTACGGGAAAAGGGCGTCCAGCACCCTCTGTCCGGTCAGCAGTGGGTGATTGGCAGGTAGCTTCTCTGTGACAGGCCTGACCTGTCTGACAGGCCACACCTGCACCATGGTAAACTTCTCCTTCACACCCTCAAACTCCAGCTCCATCACCACATCCTGATGCAAAGAGACAGAAAGCTAACCCAAAGCGAGGCCCAACGGATGCGAGGTAAAGACAGAAAGCTAACCCAAAGCGAGGCCCAACGGATGCGAGGTAAAGAGTTGATTTGCCGAACTTACAGAGATGTCATAGTTTCCAGGTGGAGCCACATAGGTCACAGTGCCTCTGTTCTTGGGAGGAAGCATGATTTTGTGCTTGATAAGAGAGTTCTCAAAGACCATGCCGTAGATGTCCCCTCCTGTGATATGACTCCCAACCTGATGTTAAGACAAGGGAAGATCAATACAGAACAGATACCTCGTCTAAATGAGCTCAAGACGAAAGCCATACTCGTAGGCTCTTGCCGGGAGAAAACTCCCACTTCAGGTCTCGGTTGAGGGCGCCGATGTTGACTCCTCTGGGGATGTAGATGCTCTGTGTGAGGTCATTGATGTCCTTTAAGGGTCGCTGGATACCATCAAAGATGGAGCCCATGATACCTGGACCCAACTCGACGGAGAGAGGCTTTCCTGTTCGCAGCACAGGGTCTCCCACCGACACGCCAGCTGAATTTTCACTCAGAAAAACCCACCAATGGTAAGAATGAGCATCTGTGTCCAAAATAAACTCTTTGACACAATCGTGCAACCTTTAAATATTGCTGCACGATATGGCTTAAAAATAAAATCTCTCATTAGTTCATACCAGATCCAATTTTAATCTTTTTTTCTTGCTTTCTTTATTTTAACAAAAAAAAAATAATTCAAAAAACTGTCTTTTATTTCAATAAAAAAAAAATTACATCTTAACCTAGCCCTAATATTCTGTCTTTGAGTTAACAGGAATTCAAAGTTGAAATAAATAGAAACTGTAAAACATGCTTGTCAAACAAAATGTCAGCCTTGGGGGTGTTAATAACACTGTGAACAATGGAAACCCACAGAATACATTGATGACAAACATCCTAGTTTTCCAGAAATTAAATCGTCAAACACCAACAATTTGATTAATCGACATAGGTAAAGAGTAAGGATACACGTCTCCTCGTAGACCTGGATGGTGGCCATGTCTCCCTCGAGCCTGATGATCTCCCCCACCAGCTCACTGTGTCCGACACGAACCAGCTCATACATGGCTGCTCCTGCCATGGCCGTGGCCGTCACCACTGGCAGACGCAATCAAGAGAAAAATATTATCTTTAACTAAAAGAAATCAGACAAGTGCCTCAACTCTGGAGGAGCAGCGCTGATCAAACGTTTACGTAGGGAAATTTGTGGATACAATAACTTTTGGTTTAGCAAATGTGGAGTGACAGAAAGACAGTAATAAAAGGTTTGTTCCCTTAAGAACACAAGAGACATTTAAGCTTTTTGGATTGCACTTGATAGAGGCTGCAAATCAAATGTGACTAAATCTTTGTTTATAAATGAATCTGTGTGTATGTGGGCCCATGGTGGCCGACCTGGTCCAGAGACGCCATGAACATATCCAAACTGGCTCTCTCGCTCCTCATCCCTGATCTTGGGCAGCTTGGACATGTCCATCTTCACTGGTTAGTATCCTGAGTCCTGACCAGAATAGACAAGAGGGGAGAAAACAAAAACACATAAAAATGAATTAAAAATCTATTGATTAAATTCATTCTGTCAAAACCAAAACAGATGCTGACCGTCAGAGAACTACCGTAACAAAATCATCCATCATCTGAGTACAGTAACATTCAAAACAGTACATGTATTTAAAATAGAGCTATAGAGTCTCTTTTCACATTTGTGTAATTTCCAAAACTCCATAAACAACATTAATGGTTAAATCCTTTGCTGCACAAACTGTACAGCAAAGCAGCAGCAGCAGCTCAAGCTGTCAGCAGTCGTGACAAACCCATCCCCCAATGCAGCCGACTCCACAGTTACCTTCAGATGTACAACAAACTAATGCATGAATTACTCCGTCTTAAAGCAAGTAGGCATTAAAAGAAAGTGCAATTTTCTGGATCCAATGGCTGATGCTCTCCCTGTGTCCTTTTATGCCCTTCTTACTGATGTACACATCTATCTTCCTGCTTACGCCTGGCTGCTCCAACCATCTGGGCATGAGTAAAGCAGCGCCACCAAAAGGCCAGCGGAAGTACTGCGAGAATCAAACCAAGGGAGACGCTTTGTTTCTCTGAATTCTAGTAGAAATAAACTGCACAACAAAATAAAAACTTACATCCAGCGATGCTAATCAGCTATGTTTTACATTTGGTCTAGCTTTAACTGAAATGGAGCCCATTAACAGAGTCGATCTATGTTGAAAATATTACTACCAGTATTCCAACAAATACTGTACGTGAGAGCATCTACTTAAATAGAAAAACAATGCAAACATACAGCATTAGGTCATCTGATTTCTTAATTTATTTTTCTCGACTGAAAATTTATTTTTCTCTACTGAAAAATAATCTTTCGTGGCTTAGAGCACGAAAGAAGAGAAAACAAAACACAGCAGCTAAGATGAACATATTCAAACAGAAGACTGACGAGGCAGCTGCTTAATGCATTTAGGCATCTTTACGAGTTCAGGTTAAAATGGAGCATCAGAAAGGGGAAGAAATGAGATTGATAACAGCGTGATTATTGGTGCCAGGTGAGCTGGTTTGAGTATTTCAGAAACTGCTTTTCTCACTGAACTATCTCTCGGGCTTCCAAAGAATGGCATGCAAGACAGAGATAAACAAATCAGTTGCATGATGGTTACTTCCAGCAAGATAATGTGCCATATCACAAAGATGATTTATTGGACATGAAAATAATTTAACTGTCTGGTCAGATTTTAATGAAGCAGAGCAACTTTGCTGTGGTGAAATGGGAGATTTGGATTACTAATGTGGAGGAATTGTGTGATGCTGTCATGTCAATATGGACCAAAAAATACAAAACATTTTTAGCAGTTCTGAAGGCAAAAAGGGATCAAATATGATACTAGCAAAGAATACCAAAAAAAAAAAAAACAGACCAGTGACTGTATATTTTAGTACATTTATATTGGTGCATTCAGGAAGACATGATACTCATTCCCATCAGAGCCCTAAAGACACAGTGTACAAATAAAGTCTTTCATTGTAAATGTAGATCTACATTTAAAATAGTATTAAAGTCTATATTGAAGGACCTTTTGGCCACATTTACATTACATGGCATATAGCCTTGTCGCACACTTTGTAATAAGCTTTTTATAGTGGCTGTCATTCAACTCACCAGTCTTTACAAATGAATTATAAATTCTGAATTATAAATTCTGATAAAACAATACTGGTCAAACCATTTTCTTTAGACATATGATCTATGAAACAAGACTTTAACCTTCACTTGATCATATGATTCTGGCACATGACTAGCTTCCCACTCTCTTTTAAGGAAGTGGAAAATGACCATAGTGTCAGACTGGGAAGTACTTTTTTTTTTTTTAGCTGTGTGGAAACTCTGGAGAAGCCGCGCCACCTGACAACACTTGATCTACACAAAATGATCATTATCCACAGTGAGTTGGATAATCAATAATTGTCTGTGACAAGAGGAAAATGTCTCCTGTTGTCCAATTTTGCATATTTGGAAAAGGGGGCCCTCTTGTTAAAAAGGCAAAGATAAAGTGTAGATCGTATTTTCTGTCTCATGCTGTAGGCAAGAGACAGGGCAAAAATAAGCTCATGTTTGTTACATATATGCGTGATAGTCACGCAGAACATTTTAACATGGTGATGTTACCTGCAAAACCCTGCAAAGATAGCTAACTCCGATGATCCATGATTTCATTTTATCAAACCAGATTCCTGTGTAAACAGTAGATATGTTAATGCTTGGAAAAATCCAGCGTCAATCTGATACTTTATATCGAGTTTAGATTTGAGTTTTGAATATGACTTCAGGGATGTCGGACAGGTTTCCTCGAAATGACTGTCTATATTTATTTGCAATGCAGGGAGCGGATATAATCCAGTCGTGAAATCAAAAATAAGAATATCTCTGAACTGAACTTGGTTCGTTACATTAAAACCAACGTTAACTAAAATGTAACTATAATTTAGTATCATACTAAATAATAAGACGCCTCTGTCGGCCTGGTTCAGAAAAAACTGCTACCCCTATCGTTTTGTCGCTACAGCAAAAAGCTAAGCGGTTTCATTTTAACACCCGAGCACAACAAACCTTATTTGTTACAAATAACAAAACCACTGAGCCCAGTATAAATATATAGATTTTGTTACCGTCTGATCGTGAAGTGGTCGTTAAATGTCTTGACTCGAAGGAAAAAAGCTGGCTACTGCGGTGCGTGACGGCAGGCTGAGGTCAGCTGACTTCATTCACTCGCCTTTTAGTTTTTTTAACTATAAGGCCCTGGTAACTACCGCCATTTTGGATCCACCTCCGTGCAAGTAATGGGAATTACGTATCTTTTTTGAGATCCACGTTATTTGGTTCAATTTACAAACAAGGCCGGATATTTTGGTATCTATGTGCTTTTTCATTCACTAATGCTTTTAGATGTTTTGATTGAACAAAGTTTTATCTTTTATTATTATTATTTTTGCACAAAAAACATATATTATTGAGATAAAACTCAGTTCCTTAAAACGGGATCTGGCTATAATTGTTCATTTTATGAACTGAAACACCAAGTCGAATCGGCCATGAACGGCACAGGGCCAACGCTCTTCAAACCGTGAGCGACTGTGGAAGTTCATTTCTGCACAAGATAAAATTAAAACATACATTTGATATTCAAACACATTATTAAGATGCACAAAGTTCATAAAAATTATACTATCGATTTTAAACTTGACTACTTTTAGGTTTTAATAAGTTCAGAATTGATATACAGAGTTAAAAAAAAAGAAAGACGAAACTAGTATTGGCAATTTTGACATTCAGTCACTAGTTTGGGTTTTGAAATCATTTAGATTTTCAAAGTTATGTTTCAACTCATAATTTCAATTTATGACATAATGTTATTATATATTATGATTATTATGACACTAAAATCGTAAGATTTCAAAAGTCATATTGTACGAGACTCAGCCCTAATTCTGTTTTACAATATTAAACTGACAACTAAATATATAAAAATGTACATTCCTGTGTACATTTATTATAATTGCTTCATGCATTAGCTTGGTAAGTCTGGTGGTATAATTTGCAATAAATAAATAAAAATTTTCCGATGTAATTAAGTGCCCCTATACTTCAGGAATATATCTCTTCACTAAATCGGAAATCAAATTTCATTGCAAATTTTTGTGTCTGTGCTACACAGTTTTTCAATTAGTAGATAGCAGTCATTGCTAGCTTAAATGTTACACCAAAACAATTTGATTTTCAAATAGAATAAGATATCTTAAGTTTTGTGTGTGGAGTTTACTTTATGTGAGACACTTTAATTTGCATTAACATAATAATTAGCAGCAGCTTGTTTCATAAGCCAAATTGTGTCTTAATACTTTTCTTTTTTCATGCGAGACTTTACGATTAAAAGGCGGTTTTCATTTAACTTTGATTATTTTACCCTGATTTTAGACTCGCAGGTTGGTTTTACACGCAAATCTTAAATTTACGAGGATGACTGCTCTAGATTTAATCTTTCTCATAAATAACTAGTAATTCTTAATGTTATCATATAGTTTGACTTATCGTTGTTTAATTATACTATCTCCTTCAGAACGGAACACAGCCTAACAGGCTAAATTCAGGACAAATCTTTCTAGTGACGTAAGGGGTTCAGGGTTGACAGTCTGCCGTGGTAGTGTGGCGGCTAAGCTAACTGAATCCTTCGCTACATGTGGAGGGTAGAACGGGAGGCATCCCTGACCCTTACTCTGTTAAATTTCTTAACTTGTACCCCAGACAACGCCTAAGTCAAGCCTAATCTCAAACAGGGATAATATCTGTGTAAAATGAAAGGGTGAGTCTAAGCTTTTTGAGTCACGAATATGTAGCTTAGCGAGACTAAAGTTTTTCATGCCTGTCTTTTTTTTCTTAAAAGGGAGGTGGGCATGGGGGAAGACGACGCAAACTAGCCAACTAAGCTGAATCTATACAAGTGTATGGGGTGATATGAACGACAAGACAGCTAGTGAAACTGCTCTGTTGCGGTTGTTTTTATCTTAAGCCGCTTTTCTGTTAGTCCACACCGCTAATATGCTAAGCTAACCAGTTAGGTGCTACTAGTGGGAGGCTGAGTCAGGGAAGCCTCAAAAGCGAAGCTAAGCTAAAAAGACAGGACGGGAATATCCTGATTTTCTATGATTGCTGCGTCCTTCTACTTTACAAAAGCAGACAAATCACTGAACTAGTTATTGGTATAAACTGTACTAAATGCGTGTTCCAGTTGGACAGTCACCAGTACGTTAACCCAACTTCAGCTTTTTTAGTGTAACTCGATCTGTCAAAGTATCAGGAATGAAGTTTGCATTTACGTTTTGTGGTGCTCTTAATTGTACTGTTTGTGGCTAAATTTTCAAATGACACATGGACAAATTACGCTGAGCCTTGGTAATTAGGAAGACGAGATTAAATAAATGTTATTGAACATTCCTGTGAATAACACACGTGACCCGAGACCCTTTCTGCACTTGCAGAGGTCCTATAAATACTACACTGGAACCTTTACAGAGACAGTTTTGGGTTAGTGTCTCCTGCTCATTAAGCAAACCTTGGAACCTTGATGTAATATATGCGATTCTAAATGAAGCTACCAGTCAGAATTTACTGTAAAAATCAAAACTATTCACTGTAGATGTAATTTGTCGCCTGTAACACAACATATTTGTGTCCATTTTTAAATTTGGTTATAAATCAAGATAAAAATATTCTCTGCTAAGTACAATTTTCTGTCCACACACACTTTATCGACATTACTTAAGTTTGCAGATCACAGTTCTTTTCTTAGCATTCTTTTTATGTCTTTATTAGTATGTTTTAAATAAAATACTCAACAAATATTTGGAAGCATATCTGTATTTGAAAATTAATTATACTGAGTTCAGCCAGAGAGGGTTAACAGAATACTTTAGGTACTCGGAAGGGAAGAAAGAAATTGAGTTACATAATCATGTCGCTTCAAATTATGTCTTTTGTAGGTATGATCTATATAGCAAAATAAAATAAGACACAATCCTGCTACATGTACCTCTGTCAGCTATTTGACCGTTTTGCTCTTGTTCCAGTAGCCGGATCGAGCTGGGGGATGTTACGCCTCACAACATTAAGCAGTTGAAACGCCTGAACCAAGTCATCTTCCCCGTCAGCTACAACGACAAATTTTATAAAGATGTGCTGGAAGTTGGAGAGCTCGCAAAGCTAGGTAAGATATGTCTCAGCAGGTTGTCAGTAGGCAGTAGCTCAAAATCACCCTCTCCATAAAGCTTGTCAGCAGAAGAAAGCATGAAGTGCATTCAAATTTTTTCTGGTAGTCGGTTGTGTTGACTGTGGACATTAGAAAACCCAGTGGACAAACACCAGTGGATGACCATCAATGATGGGTAAATTCACTCTGGACCTGGAGCAACATGGATTCGGGGTCTCTCCACTCTTCATCCAGACTCTGGGACCATGATTCCCAAATAAGATGCTAAATTTTCTTCAACGCCTTTTCCTTTCACTAAACCTTCTATGAATATACTTGGACACAGCAACCCGTGAACAACCAGCTTGTTCTAGAATGACATTTTGTGCTTACCTTTCTTGTGGATGGGTGTCGGTGGCTGTCCTCTGGACATCTGTCCAGTCAGCAGTCTTCCCCATGACTCCCCATGTAGTCCACTGACCCCTGAGTGAGAGGCCATTCAAAAGCTCAAGAAACCTTTGTGGGGATTTGAGTTAATTAACTGATTAGGGAGCAGTAGGGAGTAGCTTCAAGTCACTACTGCCATGAGTTCTCTCTGTTTAACCTTTTCACAATTTGAAACATTTCTGTCACTGAATTTTGGGTTTTCATTATATTTAAGCCACAACCATCAAACTTGCAAGAAATAAAAACTTCAAATATATCAACATGCGTAATGAGTTTCACTTTCTGAAGTGACTGACAAAAAATATTAAACCTTTTCACAATGTTGTACATTTTTGAGACGTATCTGCTTTCCTATAACTTCCTAAATGCATACTGTTTAGTGTCCATACCTGAGGCAGTAGAGTAGATTGTCTATCGTAATATAGTAATCCTTGCTTTTTTGTCTTCATGAATGTGTTTTCCTGCCTACTAAAATAGTATTAACATTTTTTTTTGTTTTTTTTTGCCTTGCAGCATACTTCAATGACATTGCAGTGGGGGCTGTGTGCTGCAGAGTGGATCACTCTCAGAACCAGAAGAGGCTGTATATCATGACCCTTGGGTGTTTAGCACCCTATCGTAGACTTGGAATTGGTAAGAAGCTCTATTCATGTGTAAATGCTGCTGTGACTCATTTTGGTTTTCTGTATCATTTTTGTAAATTTGAATTCATGATTTTATACTAGGCACAAAGATGCTCAATCATGTGCTAAACATCTGCGAGAAGGATGGCACTTTTGACAACATTTACCTGTAAGTGTTTTTGACACAGGAGAAGTTGAGGGTGTTTGTGATGTTTGACATTTAAATGTTTTTGACTGAGAATAGATGTACAAGGGATTTGACTGTCTTTACTTCTCCTTGTATTTGGTCTAAAGTGTTATCCCTTTCACAGTGATTCAAGCGTAATTAAAAAACAGATTCCTCCAAATGTGCTAACTGCATCTTTCTCATTCCACAGTCATGTGCAGATCAGCAATGAGTCAGCTATCGACTTCTATCAGAAATTTGGCTTTGAGATAATCGAAACAAAAAAGAATTACTACAAGAGGATAGAACCTGCAGATGCCCATGTGTTGCAGAAGAGCCTGCGCAGTCCATGTGCGCCACCCAGTGGGGAGCTTCAGAAAGTAGAGTAGGGGCGCACACAGCTTTTTTTGGGGGGACAAAGAAAGGCATGTGTGCCCATCAACGCAGAAACAGAACTGTGACAGATGCCCCACGGTCAACACATTCAACAGTTTCTTCAAAAGGATGCTAGAAAGAGAAAACAGTTTTCCAGTATAAAAATTGCTGCATTTATTTTGCAAAGGTGATTTTTTTTTTTTTTTTTTTTTTTTATTGTTCCCCATTATTACATGCGGTTATTTGAAAAGTGACAGAAAACTCTGTTATCCATAAATTGGTTTCCAACGATGAAATGCCAACACTGAACATTAGTAGACACGGTGACGGGGGATGGTGTTCTGTTTGCTAAATCGTTCTGTTTGTGTTTGAGTTGTTTTTATGCGGTTATCAAACCTGATGGGGACATATCTATATTTTTGGAAAAAAGGAAGCGGTGAAAATGTTTGCCAGACCATCACTTAGCTGGTCAATTTGGAGTGCTAGCTGGAACTGACCCGTTGAACAGATGAGACAGTTCTCTCGCTACCTGAACCCTGGGATTCACGGGAAGTGAACAAGACCAGTTTGTTCATGCATCCGGATGGGAGGAGCAGAAATGTTTCCCCTCAGTACGGACACGGGGGGAGGCTGAATGGTTTGGTTGTGGTGGAAAGATGTTGGCACCACTCTTGATTTCCAGAGAACTTTATTCTCTAGGTTTTTAATTTAATTCCCCTAAACTTTTTTTTTTTTTTCCACACACTTACACAGCAAACGGCTCAGAGGTTCCCCTGGGTGTAAGACATAAAATTAGAAATGCTTAGTTTGGGGGAAGCCAAACAAGAAGTCTCAGTATTGGAGAGGTTCTGATAGGTGCATCCCCTCTCATTGACTTGTAGGGGATGTATCAGTAATTGACTAAATGGATTTGATTTGGCATTAGTAAATTTATTTGCTTAAGGTGGGTAAATATTGATTTCTTAAACACCTTTGGCTCCCAGTGTACTGACCTTACAAATAGCGATTTCTTCAAACTTAGGATGTTTTTGTTATTGCACCCTCATGAGTTTTTATGCCGTTCTGACGGTTTGGAGGTTTTGGTTGGATATAGACTCTTAACCCAGAAGAAGCTCTGACCCTGTGCATGCAAGGAGAGTTGTTCTCTCAACTGTAGTATACGCATGTTTTTGCTTTCTTTAAAAGATTTTATCTTTTCTGGAGCTCTATATTGTAAGACTTTTTAACGTCTAAATAAAGGAATTACTATTTGCAGTAAAGTTTTTTTTTCTCAGCTTGGTCGATTTCCTTTGCTTTGCAAATTGGATGTACCTCAGATCGATTTACAGATCATTGCAGAAGTGTCCTGTCTACACAGTTATGCAGTGTGGAAGAAAAAATGTACTCAAAAATCTAAAAAAAAAAACTTGGTGACAGGAAGTAACATTTGAACTGATACGGCTTTCCGAAATGGACAATGACCCAAAGTGGTTACAAAGTGGGATAATGAGAACAGTGTCCATGTTTTGTAACAAAGTCCTGATATCTGTCTGGTGTGTGAGCGTAACAGCCTACAACCAAAACTGACTGTTAAACCAGTTCCATCTGGAGGAATGAGCTAGAATCCAGCAAACTATTGTGAGAAGTTTGTGGAAGGAAACCTAGAATGTTTATGTACACTTATAAATAAATATGGCATGGGATTTAGCTAATAGAAATAATTTTGATAATTTGAAGTGATCTAAAACAAGTTTGGTCCGATTTAAATTCAGGTAAGTATCTTAATTTGGTAAAAGTGTGCTTTGAACTGTAATAGGAATTTGAAAAAGCATTTCTCCTCATACATATCTTTTTATTAGCCTACAACGTTTTCGTAGTATTTATGATATAACTTTATATTCTGAGGATATTTAAAAAAATTCTATATATATATTAACCCTTCACGATAGAGGAGGTACATATTTTACATGTATAAACTAATGGAGCCTTACTAGACACGAACTCGTACAGTGATATCTTCCTTACCGTTTTGTGATTGGTTGAGACTTCTTAGACTCGCGATTCCATTGGCTGTCTCGAAGGTACAACCCTCTTCTGCACGGATTTAGGTGTATCTAGATTGTTTTGAGAGATGAGCTGGATGCTCTGCTAGCTTAGCTCCTAATGTCTAAGTTGTTACTGGAACATATATTCACCACAATGCCGAAGTTAGAGGTTGGTAGAATTTACGTTTGTTGCACTACGCTTAGTTACATGGAACGTAAATTATTTCGTTTTTAATTTGTCCAATAATTATTTAGGTAACGGTAAGCTAAGATAGCTGTTGGCTAAACTAGCTTGTTTAAATGCTCAGGTTGATAGCTTTCTGCTATTTAAGTGACAGAACAGACGTTTGAACGTCATCTATTGTCGATGTGATTATGTTGAAGTAGAACATTTGTTTGAACAGTTTGTCAAAGAAGCTGTTTTTATGCAGAAGTTTACATGTTATAGCATTTAGGTTTGCAGTAAAGCTAGGTTACTCTGCACTAGCATGTTAGCATCCAGTTGCTCTGGAGGAAGCCCAAATGTAACATAGGAGTTGTTAATATGTAGCTGTTGATGATTACAGCGTTTTTGTGTTGTGTGCAGGACGGGAGCAGACCGGACTTAAGGTCCAGTTGTTGAATGCGTTAACTGGCACGTTTCACCATTCAGGCAACTGTTAAAACAGGATGCCAGAGATGACTGAAACTCAGACACCTGGTCGAAAACCCAAGTGAGTATGCTTATATAAATATGAACATGTTAAGTTTAAAGAGAATGGGGATATTCAATACGTGGACAACGCTTTGCTTAAATAGACAGGCTCCCCATTCTTTGGTCTTTTATTTATTTATTTATTTATTTATTTTTTACAAAGAATATAAATATTGCACTGTCATTGATTGTTTTTCTTTTTTACTTTTTTTTCTCTTAATATAAAAAAAGCGTTCCTCTTAAATCCTTTAGTTGAAAATTATCCTCCATTGTTTTATGATTTGTTGCTCAACAAATTGTTGATCATTTGATTTAAAACCATTAGATATGTCTTAAATCACAGTTGTTATCACAGTATCAGTGTTTGGTATATTGTAATGGCAAAGGATAACAATTACAAAAACAACTCAGAAGTGATTTGAACCAATCTGTAGTCTGTTTAAAAGTTCCTGAAAAACATTGACCATTTTTAAGTTGTTTTATTGCTTATTCATTTGTCTCAGTCCATCGACTATACCTGCTAATCCTTTATTAACCTTTATTAACAAAATAAAATGTAAACAAATGTCCATTGAGTTCTGTAGTGTGCCCTTTTTATTTGTTTCTCTTGATTGAAGTGAGTCATGCCAAAGTACAGGCTGATCTGGGATTGCTTTGTACAGATGCACCCCAAGTTCATATTCATCCTGATGATGATGGCATCCCATTGCCTAACTTAAAAAAAAATACTCCAAACATGTTTCTAATAATTTATTCTTTTTTCTTTTGAAACAAATGGACCAAAATCATATTGCCCACCTATAACCTTTGTAAATGTTTTCAATGCATTATCAATTCTTCACTTTCTGCAGAAAGAAGAAAAACAAAGAATCTCATAATGCAGGTAACATCATATCTGCTACTTTTGAAACTTTTTAAAAACTGCTAATTAATAACAGTTGAGCTATAGGTCTTTTTTTTTTTACCTAAAATTTGATTGGATTATAAAACCTACTTTCTCTTTGTTTGTGTTTGCATATAGTTGAGAGACACAGAAAGGAGAAAATTAATGCGGGGATTAATCGCATTGGAAATCTTCTGCCGTGTTCTCAGGCACTTAAACAGGTAAATGGCTGCTTTTTATTGAATTACAGTCATCCATGTGTCTATCTAGTACAGTGTGTATTTTTTATTTTATGTCAATGTTCTGTTTTTAGAGTAAGAACATGATATTGGACCAAGCTTTTCGCTACATTACTGAGCTGAAGAAACAAAATGATACACTGCTTCTGGAAGGTGGTGATAAAGTCCAAGGTCAGGGTTTTTTTGTACTTTTTTTTTTTCATGAACTTTAAAAGGATCTTCTATTTATCCCACAACCCTCAATCAAGTCTACCAACTGCGAAGTGACAAGCTGTGCTTGAAGTTTTTATGCATGCTAACAATAATTATAATAATCAAAATTATAACGCTATACATTCAGCCTTGTTTCTAAAAGTAGCATGTGGGACGGTGTCCGGCATCTTTTAGATGCATCTCTGGTCCAACATACCTGAGGCTGAATTACCGCCTTAGTATTCAGTTAAATTCTCCAGAGTCCTGCTAATAACCTCATTATTTGACTCTGGTGTGTTGAAGCAGAGGCATATGTAAAAGTTGCAGGGCACCCAACCTTGAGGGAGCAGGAAGAATTAATGGCTTATTTAGTCCTGCCCCTAAAAATTGCATCTATTAGAAAAAAGAAAACCACTGCACAGTTATGCTCCACTTGATGTTTATCAATCACCTAAGTATTTATTTAAAAATACAAATGCCTGCTTTGTCTTTATGCAGCTGAGGAGATCCGGAGACTGCGGCGTCAGTTGGATGAACTGAGAAAGGAGAGCGCTCACTACATTGAGCTCCTCAAAGCTCATGATATTAGCCTTTTAGAGGACCCAACTATTCACTGGAAGGGAAAGCACCGCTGTGCCAAAGTGGCAAAAGTGACTCCTACCCATCAGCTCCCGAAGAGAATTGTTGTTTATTCCAATGGCAATGTGATCGGCCCTGCAGGGAAACAGGCAAGCCCGGGAAAGAAGTCCTCTGAAGCAGTTCAGCCACCATCTGATACCAGATTGCAAGTTAATGGAGCTCTACTGCAAGTCAGTACTTCTTCTACCACCCCTGCACTGCTCCCTGGCTCAACCACGACACCCTCTCCGTCAAAATCAGGTCTGAGGATGTTGGAGCAGTGTGTGGTTGAAACACCTGCTGTAGGCCCTTCTTTGGCGCCTTCTGTGTCTTACATAACCCTCCAGATCCCTGCAGCCACCACATCCCTGCTCCAGCAGGCGCAGCCCGATCCCCCGCCTCAGAGCATTCCCTTAGTAGCTAATTCAGCCTCGCCACATACCACTGAAAGCACTGCGCAGTCTGTGTCCACACGCACTACATCTACCCAGACCATAACCTCTGCATCATCGGGGGGTTCCTCTTTGGGGACACCGGACTCTGCCATCAGAACTGTAAGCTACACTGCAGTTCCTGCCAATCAAACTGTTCTTAGGGCTGGAGCTGCAGGCAGCACACAGACGACCTGGACAACATTGCAGATGGCAGGAAACACAGTGCAACCAGTTTGCCAAAGTTTGTCTACACCAGAGGTTAGCAGTACCACCCAGACGGTCCAGCAGGTTGCAGTATGTCCTGTGGGCAGCAGACCCTCTGTTAATCCTGTTCAAATACAGCTGCAGCCACACGTGCCTGTACAGCAGGCACCTATCACAACTCGTATCCCAGCTAATCCATTCAAAAGTACCACTCAGCTACAAGCAGCAGTTCTAAACCGGACACAGCCTCAATGTGCGGTTGTACCCCAGTCAGCCATAATGCCGCAACCAGCTGTGATCGCTCAGCCTCAGCCTGCAGTTCTGCAGCCAGCGTCATTGGTTCCTCATCCTCCAACAGCCCTTCTTCCACAGCCTCAGCAAACCCTGGTTCCTCAGCATCAAGCTGCTGTGCTACCCCTTCTGCAGACCATGCAGGTCCTGCAGGTCAACCCAGCCGGTGCTACTGCTGCAGCACCAGGTGTAACCGCACCTCAGAGCACGAACAATCCAAGTGTTGTCATCCTGCAGCAGGCCAGTGCCTGCCCCACTCAGCAGGTTGTGAGAGAGGACATTTCGAATCAAACGCCTTGTCAGCATATAGTGATCATCCAAGCCCCCAGTCAGGCTGCGTCTGCTCCTCAGAGCTCCCAGCTGAGCATTGGTCCTCCCTCACTCCCTGCTGTTTCCACTCAAACACCAACCACAACCAGTTCAGTGACTGTCCCTCCTTTACAAAGTGTTGGGGGAAAGCAGCTCGTGCATATCCTGCCTCGTCCCACCCAGCCTGAGGTGAGCCATCCTCTGCAGGTCAGCCAGGGATGCTCCTCTTCACCAGTCTCCACAGCCCCACAAACAATCACTGTGAATGGCCAGGTGTTTGCTCTGAAGCCAGTGAAAACTTCTGATAAAGGTGGCTCCCAGATCGGTCCGAGCACCCTCCAACTGGTACAGCCCACCACCACTGAGGAGCCCACTACTAATGTGGCCCTCAACAGTTTAGGTGCCCTTAGCAGTCTCAACCAGAGCATATCTCAAGGCCTCCCTCTGTCTTGCCAGAGCAGTGGTCTGCTTACCCCTACATCATCAGTTGGTGTTACTGCACCTTCACCTGGATCTGCACCTGCACTACCTGCTCAGCAGCTACAGGTTCCGTTGGGGATAGCTGCCAGCACCTCTAAGCCTTCAGGAAAAAAGCCCCACATGGTTGTAAACACAAAGAGAGTGGTTGCTAAAAGGACCAAATCTCCCAAAAAGAAAGAGCTCAGGACTGCACAACTAATTCCTCTCAAAAAATCTGCTAATGCTACTGCTAAAGATAGCCAGGCAGTCCAAGATAAAGCATCTCAAGTTTTACAGTCCTCAGCAAACATCCAACCAATGGACACCACAATTTCAGAGTCGCGAAATGCTGTGAGCTGTGTAGCACCGGGTCAGGACACACAGCAAATGATCGTGTGCAGTTCATCCAGCAACTCTGTTGTATTTTGTCCGATGCAGGATAAAAGCCCTGTCTGTGCATCTCAGAGTAACTCGGCTGCACCAAAGGTCGTATGTGAAACGCCTATCAAGCCATCAAGTGGCTCAGCTTTAGCAGTCAAGACTAAAATTACTCCAGTTTCTAACAGCAGCTCTGCTGTAACCAAACCTTTGGTGTCAGAGGTTAAACAAGTAACTGTTAAAACTACAACTACCATAATGCAAAGCCTGCCAGCTGCTGCTTCTTCTGTTGCTAAACAAAATAAACCCACAGTCACCTCTGCAGTTTCCAGTGACCCTCATGTAACTTCTGCTTCTGATTCTAGTTTGTGTTTGCCCCCAATCTGTATTCAGTCTACTGCATCAGTGACTCAGAATACCAACACAGTGCAACCTACTGTTCCCCAGAAATCAAAGATCCAAGATCAACCATCTTCTTCTCAGCCCACCACTTTATCCTCTTCTCAGCCCACCACTTTATCCTCTTCTCAGCCCACCACTTTATCCTCTTCTCAGCCCACCACTTTATCCTCTTCTCAGCCCACCACTTCATCCTCTTCTCAGCCCACCACTTTATCCTCTTCTCAGCCCACCACTTCATCCTCTTCTCAGCCCACCACACCTGTCATCTCATCACGTATACCCACTGATTTGGTTCCAGACGCCTCTGTTGGAGTTTCCACATCAACTATAGAAATTAAGAAAAAGGCTAGTACTGCAAGAGCTCCTTCACAACAGACTGATGTGAACATTCCCCCACCTTCCTTGTCTCGTCCTGCAGAAGTCAAACCAACTCAGACAACAAGGATTGACAGGGATGCTCTGGAGGAGAGGCCTTCCACAGCAGCAAGAAAAGAAGGATTGGTTGGGGTGATGTCTGAAGCTCCCTTAAAGAAGGACTTTGCAATGTCTCAACAAGTTTACACAAACCTGGATGACCAGGCAATGGAGCAGAATATTACGTCCAACAGGCAGACTGATTCTCCAATGACCACAGGGGGAGCTGGTGGTCGAGGATTCTCTGTCGCGTCGATGCTTCCTCAAGGCCATAGCATCGGTGTGTCTTCCGGCTCCTTTGGATCATTTGCATTTACATCTGAACAAGCGGAGATGCTCGCGTTGGCGATGCTAGAACAAGATAGCCCAGAGAGAAGAAGTGGAGGATGCTCAGGGGACAACACTGCTTCAGCTACATGGGACTCCCCCAAAACCCCACCAGTGTCTTCCAGCAGAGACAGAGGCTCAGCTGGGCAGCCGGGCAAGATAACCAAACTGATGGACCAAGTTGCGGCTAAACACCATGATGTGTCTGTGAGTGGGCCAAACAGACATCTGCAAAATATTGCTTGCTCAAAATCTCAACCTCTCCCTCCAGGACAGTCTCAGAGTTCAACCCAAGGTGGGACAGCCGCTAGCCTCAGTGTTAACAATCTGATCAGATCCAGCTCCAGTCACCAACCCTATCCCAGTTCCCCCAGTCTGACCGCCCAACAGGGGTCAGTTCCTTCTCCAGCCGGGACATCTACTCATATGTCCCTACCCTCAAGCAACGCCATCTCAACCTGTTCAGGCACTGCCCAAGTAGCAGAGTATGCCGCCTTGAAAAATAATGCTATAAGAGGCCCTCCTGGAAGTGTGGTAGGTGAGCGACATGGGAAGATGATCTCCAAAAGACAAGCCCCAGAAGAAGCGATGTTAAATGCAGGAAAACGACCAAAGCCTTGCCCTCCGCCGGGTAACCCAGTGGGCCACATGGATGTGAAAGCACCAGACCACAGTCAGATGATGTTGGGACAGCTGCCGTCCACCTCTGCAGCTGTAATGACTAGGATTAATTCAGAAAATGGAGGCCCTCTTTTCTCATCAAACTCCTTCATGAGCCCAGTCGTGCGCCCCATTGATGGTCACTGCCCAGTTCAAGGTCCTCCTGAGCAGAACCAGGCAGGCGGGCTTCATCTGCCACAGGGTCACCCGCAGCATCCTGTTAGCCAGCCCAGTCAGCATCTGGGAGGAAACCTTTACATGAAACAGCAGCAACAAGAGCAGCAGAGACACCATTTATATCATCTGCAGCACCACCTGACTCAATCTGACCCTGCACAGCGCCACTCACTACACCAGAGGGCACTGCAGGAGCAGCAGCAGCAGCAACAACAACAACAACAACAACAGCAGCAGCAGCATGTCCAGAAGAAGCGGGGAATCGTCAGAGGGAATCAAACTGGCTCACCTGCTGGCTTGCAGCAGAAGCAGCAACATCACCTGGAAAAGCCTGGAATTCATCAGCATTCCCATCAGCAGCAGTCACAGCATCCCCAGCAGTCCCACCAACAGCCTCAACAGCATCAACAACCAACACAGCACCAAGCGTCTCATCCACAACACCAACAACAGCAGCAGGCGCACCAGCAGCCTCCCCAGACTCAACATCAACAGCAGCAGCAGCAGCTGCAGCAGAACTCTCATCCCAGACATCCTCAGCATTTACAGCAACAGATTCAACAGCAGCACTTTAGGCATCAGGACAAGACATGTGAGGCCCAGTCAGTGGGATCCAGGGCCCATCACAACAGCCACCTGGCTCAGCAGGACCACCTCAAGGTGGGTATGGGTAACATGTTACTAATGTATAGTTTATGATCATTTGTTTGAATCTAAATGAGAAATACTGCTAAAGTTCATCCTCTAAGTTATGAACCTTGCTTTTGATTAGTAGCACCTGCTCATTTTAGATGGTGGAACCTTTCTTTCATTCTTTCTTTTGCTGTCTTCCCTTAGCACTTTTGCTCTTGTGTCTTTCGTTCACTCTTTCTTTTGCAATTTATTTCAACCTTTCTTTCTTTCTTTTGAAGCAGGGAACTTTTACTATTAAAAAGGTAAAGGAATCCTGGAATTGGCTGACTGAAATCATTTTTATTTATGATTTCTTGTAATTTGCAGAATTTCATCCTTTTTACATATTTACTGAGGAATATAAAGATTTTTGTGTCTTTAACTTGTCGTTCTGCTGCAGTCTGGTCAGGACCATAATGCTATGCAGAGGATGATGAGCTCTAGAAGTTTAGAGCAGCAGCTCATCTCTCCTCCTACCAACACGGTGTCGCGTTCATCTGAGCTGGCCTGCGCTCCGTCTCGACAGGAGCGTCACCGCGTGTCGAACTACTCTGCAGAGGCACTCATCGGTAAAAGCTCCACTAGCGGGGATCAGCAGCAACGCATGGCTCTCCATCTCCAGCCCGGTCGAGGTGCCACCCAAGAGCAACCAGACCTCCACAGCTACCTGGACACATCGCGAGGGAAGGCTGGCATTGTTCACAACCCTCAGAACCGCCTTTCATCCGACCATTCTACATCTGCTGACCAACGCATATCTGAGTGTCAGTCCTTCAAGGCAATGGCTGGTGGAGGGGGAACGCATCAGCTCGGCAGTTTTGAAGCTCAGGTCTCTCGTGGGAGTGACATGGCCCCCAAGTCGGTACCCCCCTCTCAGCGGGGCCCTCAGGGACAGCAGCAGGGAGGATTCAGGATGAGTGTCGGCCCCACTGCAGACGTAAGAAATCGTGGCAGCTACAGTGGACCCCATCCCGGCCCTCAGGGAGTCCAAGTTGGTCCTGCGCTGCCACGGGAACAGGAAGCCTGCCACCAGAGTTTCATGCAAAGCCTCCTCTCTCCACACCTTCCTGAGCAGAGCAACCATCAGCGAGCAGTTCAGTGTTGCCCCCCAGTGACCATGGAGTACAGCTGCATGCCTGGAAGTTCATCAGGAGACATCCAGGCCAAATCCTCCAGTCCGAGCGTGCCTCAGTCCCAGAAGGCCCCAGCTATGCGACTCACAGAGGCCAACAAGGGCCACATTTCTCAGGTCAGCAGTAATATGCACGTAGGGCCCGGCGTCCGAGCAGGTCTGCCCCACCCTCCGACCCCCCACAGCAGCTCTGAGCCCGGCCGCTCCTCTGCCATCCCTAGACCCCCCGTTGCTGTCAGCCAGCATTCCCGACATATACCCAGAGACGCTCATCCCGTCAAACTGAGACATCGATCGGGAGCGCAGAGACCCACCAACCCTTTTGAGGCAGAGAGCCACCTACCTCTGCCCTCGGGGGGAGGGGTCCTGCTGGGCCGGACTCAGCCTGGAGGAGAGAACCGCCGCACCACCATTGTGTGCTTGATGGCAGACGGCGCACAGGTTCCCAGTGACAACAATCTTGTTGCTGACCAACACCTGGCTCAGAACTTTGGGTTCCCCTTTATTTCAGAGGGAGGGATGAACCCTCCTCCCCCGATTAATGCAAACTCTACATTTATCCCTCCAGTGAGCCAACCCAGCACCTCTCGCACACCGTCCCTCCTCCCCGTGGAGCCCCAGAACACTTTACCCTCCTTTTACCCCTCGTACTCTCCAGCTGCCCATCCCAGCCTCCCCGGTGATGTCGCCCTCCAGTACTTCCCCAACCAAATGTTTACAAGCCCGAGCACCGATAAGGCCAATGCTCCTCCTCTCAACAACAGATTCAGCTCCATCCTCTCCCCGACGCGGCCAGTGGGGTTCGGTCAGGCCAGTTTCCCTTTGCTTCCTGATATGCCTCCCATGCCGTCGTCTGGAATCACCCCTCACATCTCCAACTTCAGCCTCACCTCGCTGTTCCCCGAAATCGCCACCGGCATGCCCTCGGATGGCTCATCCATGCAGATGTCCCCTCTGCTGTCCCTGACCAACACATCATCAGCTGACTCAAGCAAGCAACCCAATCGTCCGGCCCACAACATCAGCCACATCCTGGGCCATGATGGCAGTTCAGCTGTGTGATGAGTTTCAGTTTAATGCCTTTTTGGACTGTTGTTCAAGAGCAAACAATTGCATTGTCTGTTTGAAATGTGTAGTTTGTTTCAACGTTAAAGAAAGAAGTGATGAAGCACTTGATGTGAGGGGATTTGTTGTTTACATGTCCACTCAGTTTCAGTTTTTTGTTTTGCTTTTCTCTTTTTGACATGCCTAATGTCATAGTAATCATTTAAAATTTCCATAAGGCTTTTGGATTTTATGGAAATAAGTCCCGTATGCTCCTTTTCGAAATGTTGGTTAAACTGGTTCTGAAGAAAATATAAAAGTTTAGAACTTGAATTTCGGGTCAAAAGGAAACCTTCTGCACAGTTACTAATTTAATTTACTAACTTATCAGGTTGTACTGTACAGATTTTTCGAAGAGCTATTTTGTAAATACCAATATTTCATATAAAAGTTGCTAGATTATGTATTTGTAAATACAAAATTGATAAATAAAATTTATAAGGATAACATTGTCATTTCCGTGAGTTGTTTTGTCTTGTTTTCAGAATCCAGTTTATTTTACAGAATTAGTATTCAAAAAAACATTTTAACTCACCTGAGTAGGCAGGAAGACTCTCCAGCAGTGATCTGCATCACAGCAGTTATGAATTAGCTTTTGAAAAAGACGCTGCTTCAAAGGCAGTGAAGAGGAGGCCCAGGACAATCTAATGTTCATATGAACAATCCTTCTTTGCGTCATCTCTAGATGTTTGCTTTAGCTAGCATACTTATTGATAACTCTAGTATTTTGCCTAACTTTAGCTTTTGTATACCATTTCAAACATGCTAATGTTATAAGGATAACTGTCATTAATCTGCCTTTTTTTCTTGCTGCTAACATGTTAGCATATTAGCTGCTGTCAACATAGATTATCTGTTGTGCTAACATGCCATTTGTAGCTTATTTGAGAACACCAACGCATAGATCTGAATGTTGTATGACACAAGTATATCAGGCATTGAGCATAACACCCAACAGCAGATAATGCATACTCTTATTTACAGCATAATGCTAGCTTGTTTGTTGTTTATCCTTTTTCCACGGTAAATCATTTTTAATAAAATGATTGTGTTGAGCATTTCACACCAAGTGGCTAGTATATTATAGCCGAAACACCAGCTAATGACTCGAAGCTAGACAAAAGAAACAAAACACCCATAATTATTTTATAAGCTTTTTATTTACATGCAATAGTGCTCCAGCATGTGCAGAAAACAGCCTGCACTCTTTAGGGAGTGTAGATTCAGGATCTCCTTCATTTTGATCACTTTTATGTAATACTTTTTCCACTGACCTGTCAGGAAGGAATAATACTAACACCTGTCACAGCTTCCACACCTGGCAGTCTTTTGGTAACCAGCGAACAAGTAAACAGAAGTGGCTGCAGAGTAAAGTTCAGCTTATCGATGACTGTTATTTTCCAGAATCTCTCCCATTCAGTGATGATTTTTTAAAAAAATACCATAAACTCCAACAAATAAATAACTATACACAATATATAATCTCATGTACACTACTGAAAACAATGATTTTAAATTGCATACACTTGTTAATAGTTTGTTAATGAAGAGCAAAGTACATTACGTTACAGCTGTACACAGTTTTCGGTTCTTGAGAACGTGATGACAGCACCTCATAATTACAGCATCTGATTGGAGAAATGGTCCCTTTGTTTCTGATCTGCATAAAGCTAAACACAATGAACATTTAGGAAGGGGTGATGTCTGCGAAGTGAGGAAGGAATGGACGGGTGAGGTCTGGATGTGGAAGTGCTGAATAAATGGAAGTCGCTCTGGAAATGCAGACTCCCTTTGTCAAGGATGTAGAGTGAGCAGATATATGAATTAATCATGTTTTTATATGAAAATACCCATATATACAGTATAATAACACAATTATATGTACAAAAGCATAAATATATAAATATTCTAATACAAAAATAAATATATTCTCTTTTTTTTTCTTTCCTCTGTTCACCAAGAGTCTGTTATGCATCTGTGGTGTCTGACGTCCCTACATTCTCAGAGGACACTTCATTCGGGAGGATGTTTACTTCCTGTATTGTATCTTGGGATCGTTGCATTGTGGTTGTGGAATAAGAGGAGGTGAAAACGCCGTCGTCCTCAAGTGACAAAAGACGGAGAGGTTCCTGTTCTGCAGGAATGAAAGAGAGCAGGTAAAAATATTTTTAAGATTTTTACATTGGGCAGAATGATGCTCAAATCTCAAAGGGTTATTTGCCACATCTGTCCCTTCCATATTAGAAGAATCCACACTTACTTTGATTGATGTTCGGCGTGCCGTCACCAAACCCAACACCGCCTCCTGCTTCCTGTGAGCTGAGAAATTCATGGGAAGACGCCAGAAGCTGATGAGTGGAGTCGTCAGGAGAACAGTGGCTCTGTTCCTGATGATCCGCCTCCCTGAGAAAAATATACATTTACAATGATAGCAGAAAGTTTTTATTTTTAGCTTTACTTACTTAATGAAATGCCATTCGTATAATTTAATAATTATTAACCTGCTGGAGTACTGGTAAAGAGGCAGATGTCCATTTGCCTGTGGCAGAAGCGTGTTGCACTCCAAGTCACAATCCACTTCATCCTGCAAAGTAAGACAACATAAAGGTTTTTATTCAACAATAAAAGAACAAAACATTATTAGTAGTAGCAGAACTGTTATAAAGTTTGTTAGTCAGCAACGTAAAAAGAACAGGAACTATTGCCAAATGTTTTTTGTGAAAAAACAAAAAGGAAAACACCTTTCTGTCCCACCCAAGTGAACAAACCTAGCCAGAAATTAAAATTAGCAAAAGCTTTGAGTTCATTGTCTGGATTGAGATGCAACATTTAGTTATTTAATGAATGTGCTTTTTGGATGAAAAAAAAAAGGCTTACAAGTATTTCTAGTTTAAAATTAAGCTAATCTCAACCAGTTATAGCCTACAAATGTATTTGTAAAAACATTTTCTTAACTGTTCTCACCAGTATGTTGACACTGGCCTTTAAATGTGCAGTTTTTTGTTTTTTTTTACACAGTTCCTGAAATTCTATTACTGATTTTTGTTCCAGTGTACCACATGTCACTTCAGTCAAAGTGTTTTCACCTGCTGCAGTCCTGGAAGGCAGTGCTGAGCTTTTCCGTTCTGGATGTACTCTCCATTTGCGGGGTAAACGCTGCGTGAAGGAGTCATGTGAGAGTCCAGGGGGCAGTGTCCAACCAGGGCCAGTCCCTGCAGAGGAACCATGGTGTACTGACACGCCGACACCGGAGCAGCCACAGTTGGGAAGCATAAGTCTGACGCTTGCTCTGCAGGTAATGGAGTAATAAATTAGGACACGTGCAAAGGCAACAGCCTGTCATCAAAAACCTGAGGATCTCTGGGGAAAACTCACTCTGCTTGGCCCAGGCTCTCCAGAGACAGAACGGGATGAAGGCGACAATGATGAAGACAAAGGCTCCTAGGACAATACCAACGATGAGGTAGGGGAGGTCACCAGGCCGTGGCACCAGCACGCCGGGGGCTTCAGCCTCCGGATCTGTAGGCTCCGGAGCCCGAGGTCGCGGGTTATTAAGTCGGGCTGAGGAAAAAAATAAATAGAAAAGGCTTAGGAAGATCTTGGTCAGATAACGACATGTTCAAGAAAATCCAACAAACATCCTCTGTAAATGCTCTCACCTTTAGTTTCAAGGATTACTACGTTGCCAAACTCGCTCTCGCCCTTTTCGTTGAAGCTCTGCATCTTGATGTCATACGCCGTTTCCGGCTGCAGGTCGGTGATCGAATGCCAGTACCGGTCCCCCTCCACCACATCCTTCTTGTAGTCGCTGTCATTATCGCTGTCCGTTGGGCGGTAGTAGATGTAGAAACCATAGATGGGCGTGTTGTTCACAGGATCATACTATAGTGAGGAGGTAACGATCACAATGAGCTTTATATCAAACCCAGTTTCCCCGATGTTTTTTTTTTAAGTACATTTGCAGACTTAAATTGGCAAAGTTCAGACATTTCAAACCCTCCCCCGACTGTCAAAAATGTCTTTGGACACGTACCGTCCACTTCAGGATGATCGTGGTCTCATTGATGGCTTCGTTGTAAGTGATGTAAGGGCCATCAACGGGACGCTCGTGGGTTTTCCCACCCACCACAGTGTAGGCCTTGGAGGGGGCGCTGGGTGGACTGGAACCGATTACGTTCACGGCGACCACACGAAACTTATAGGACGTGCCTACAGGGGAGAGGAACGAACATTCGCAATCAGCGGCCCCAGGCTACTCAGACACTTAAAAGGCAGAGTGAAGCAGTTTTATGTTTTCTTTCTCAGAGCAAATGTTATGTTAATTGTAACCTAGTTATGTTTTGATTAATGTCAGTAATCACTGAAATGGCTTTAACTATACTCATTATGGTGATAAATTTACCGACCGAGGAACTTGTAATTACGTAGGGCATCATCGTCATAATTGCATGGAACGACATCCGATAACTCCCCTCCTCCAAACCAACCTTTCTCCAGGCCCGTGATTTCCACAGACAGCCTGGATGGGGGAATGTTCTCCACCGCCGTCACCCAGTCCTCCCCGGGCCTCTTCACCTTCTTGTACTCCACCCGAAACGACTGAATGGGGAAGCCGCGGTTGCCGCGAGGAATCCAAGTCACGTACGCCGAGGTCTCCGTAGCCATGGAGACGGTGGGCTTATCGGGAGCTTCGGGAGCTGCGGAGAGCAGGGTAGGGCGGGGTCAAATATGTAGCGACAATATGGAAATAAATCACAGCACAACAATGCAGCCTCAAAGTGCTCAACTTACTGAGAGCTCATCCTTCAGACAGAAATGCAAGAGAGAAAACTGTTAGAGGAGAGGGTTAGTAGCTGAGGTTAGTCCTAGTTTAGGCCTTTGATGCCATTAGTTGCTGTTAATCAGATTTGTTGCATTCGCAGGTAGAAGGCTTACGAGAGAGGCTTGGTGAAGGGACAGCTGGGGTTTTTGGTGGGTCGTTGGACGCTCCTTTACGCACTGAAGACAGAAAAAAAAACTGTTTAGTGCTACAGATATTTTCTTAAGTCGTCTTAAGAAATAATGCAGATTTAATTTCTTTTTGTTGTGAACTATGGGTTTAAAATGGTGAAATCGATGACGGTGCCTCATAAAAAGGGTTCATGCACTTTGAAATTTCACACAATTTGTCACACAAAACCACAAATGACACAAAAAAGTGCAGAGCTGTTATGTGGAAACAATAGGATACACAGTTTTCCAACCGTTTTCACAGAAACAATAAAATCTACATATTTAGACCCTTATCCAAGACAACCCAAAATAAAATCAACTGCAGTCAATTAACTTCAGAAGTCCGCGTCTGTGTTGTTTAATCCGAGAATAAATCTCACGGTTCTGTGAAGACCTTAGAGGTTAGATGGAGAATATTAGTGAACAAACATAATCATGAAGACCAAGGACCATAGCAGAC